GCATTGTCATTTTTATTATAAAGAGACGAAACCTCTTAGCATTCGATGGATTCACCGTGCGGGTGCCGGGTCCATCGCGTTGCAGGGAGAGGAGCTTCAACAGTGCCTGGGACTTGCGACCCAGGTGTAGGTTTAAGGGGCCCCTTAACTAACGCGCGTTATACGCTCACCTCCACTGTCCAAGTTCCTCTCCCTACCTAACCAAATTTGAAAAGAACCTACTAGGGCTGCCTTCGACGTACGTTCTAAGAATGAATTAATGTTAGTTCTGGACAGGCCCAAGTCTTTTAGTAGGTTATAGAGAGATTTAGCTGTTATACCTCTCGCTCCCACCTCTACCGCGTACAAATCAACGACGAACCTATTTCGAGTTAGTTCGTTAGTGAGCTCGTAATACTTATTGACCTTGATGGCATGGTCTTTGGGGATGTTGGTTTCCCAAGGCACCGAAAGCTCTATCATCACAACGCGCTTTAAAATACGCGAATATAGAAATATGTCTGGTCTGGAGGCCGACGCACAAATATCCTCGGGGATTTTGTATTGTTTCTCATACGTATCCATCATGATAGTCCAATCCGAAGCCGCTTTAAGGATAGAGTAAGGCTTGACGTTTGATTTTATAGCCCTGGTGCCCTCTCTCACAAAACCTATTGATCGCTCGTTTGTGGTTATTTCCCTTTGCGCTCTGGCTACCGAAAGACTAACCGCTTCACGTATGATCTCTAAAACCCTATCGTGACGACGCGAGTATTGACCGCTGTCCAGGAGAACCTTACATCCCACCAGCAAATGCTTGGCAGTTCCAACTGCCTTTCCGCAGATATAGCAAGTTTTTTCGGTACCTTTACCCCATCTTACTAAATTACTCTGATCTGGGAGAGTCATCTGGAACGCATTGAGATAAAATTTTAGCAAGGCTGGCGACCAGTCATGAATTAGGGTGCGCCATTTTAGTGCTAGTGGAATGCAAAAATCTCCTATGTCTAACCAATCGTTCTGCATTTCTAAACTCATTGCATGGATCTTGTATTTATCGTTCTCGTCTTGCCGAATAAAAGACTTCAATATATCCGTATCTTGGACTTTCCTACTTGATCCTAACCCTACTCTGTTATTTTGCGCTCCGATCATAAATTGTTTATGGAATTGAAGTCGTGACTCTAGCTCTGGGGCATCATTGTCTTTTGGGAGTGATGTAACGACGTCATCATGGGATTTTCCCAGGATATGTCTCTTGGAAACTCTTAGGTGTTTGTAGAGCTCCGATGGTCTTTTTAGATTCATCCCAAAACTATTACGATCCCTGAATAAAGCCGATGAGTCAGCCGTTAGCGCGAGCCCGAGCCACAACTTCAACATCTTTATGACGCCTGCATCTAATTTAGATAAAAGGGTTTTACTAAAATCATAGACGAGGAAAGGCCAATTCAAACGTGAAGTTAAGTAATTATCGTAGATCCATGCTTTTTTTACGTTACTGATCTGCTGGCTATCTACCTTGTTGAGATCATTTAAAAAGCTATCTACTATTCCTTCTAAAGATGGAGTACGACCTATATTATCAATCTTACGACCGAGAAACTTGAATGGTGCATTTTCCGTAACCGTAGAAACGCATTGACCGCCTATCGATAGTCCCGGATCGTATGAGGTGTATCTTGTATTCCGCCTACCAAGACACAGACAGTGACATTTACTTGGTTTTGTCCTCAATCCATCCGTCCACTCACAGAATTTATCCACTTCATCCAATAGTACTTGACAGTGTTTGGGGTGACGTGTCAGTATTGCGAGATCGTCAGCGAAGGCTAAAATGGATTCCGTGTATTTGTTATTGAACTTAAACCGATACCCCCATTTTTTCTCATTGCTGATAAGTTTATCTACTAGGATATTGATTACAATATTAAATACTATTGGAGATAAACAGCACCCTTGGAATAGTCCTACATTGTAACTCAAACTTTTTGAAGGGCCTTCTTTAGTTATAATAGAAAACTTTAATTTTGAGTAATACGACGCAATCATATCGCTAACTAAGGGTGGAAAGTTATACCATCTAAGCGCGAATAGCATCAACTCGTGTTGTATCGACCCGAACGCGTTCTCTAAGTCTATCCAACAAACTGTAATTTGCCGCTCGCTTTTTCTAGCATCTTTCAAACTCTCCGACAGCAAGGTGTTGTGTTCTAGGCATCCAGAAATCCCGGGTAGAAACCCTTTCTGGTGATTTGGCCTAAAATATAATTAAAATATTATTTTGAAATATAATTAAATTAAGGAAATAATAACCCTTACAGTCTCTACAGCTTCTATGTACGACTGCCAACTAAGTGACTATTGGTTAGCATACTGCCTTTGTACGCTCTTTATACGCTTTATATGTTTATTTTAATTCCCACCACAAAATGTACTTTTATTTCATCATCATTAACTAACAGTAACTTGAATTATTATTTATAGATCAGTGTGATGACAAAGTGACCGAAGGAGAAGAATTTAAATTTTTTTGTGCTCAAAGTTTGAAGTTCAAGTTTGAAGAGAAAAAGAAAAAAGATAAGTTGTATGAGTTTGAGCCATAAAGCCGTAGATGGTACTTCATATTTTTTTCCAATCACAAGCCGATATCTATACATATATTAAAATTGTAGAAAAGTGCTGTCTGTACATTGAAAATAAAAAAAATAGCAGGGGTTATTATTATGTCGATGTCGAACCCAAAAATGTAATTAACTTTTTTTTTGTCTGTTTGTCTGTTTGTCTGTTCACGCTAATCTCAGAAACGGCTAATCCGAGTTGGATGTGGTTTTCACGAATATATTGTGGTATGCTTCAGTTATGCTTTAGTGTTTGTTTCATGTCAATCGGTTCATAAATTAAAAAGTTTTGTCAAATTAAAGAACTGCAGAACTGCGTTCAATATTAGACCGGGTGTGTCAATTGTATGTGGCTCTGTCCCGTGTTAGCAATCCCAGCAGCCTGTATGCTTTCAGCCCCGATGGCCATACGTCTAATATTGTATATAGAGAAGCATTAGAGTAAAGTAGGTTTTTAGCTACCCAAAATGACTGTGATTATGATCCAAAATAAAAATAAGTATATATTTTAAAAAAAACGCTACTCATTTATCATATTTAACATTATACGACAAACAAATGTAAAGAAAAATAATTATTAGCAATTATCATTAAAAAATAAATGAAAAGTATGTAGTGTTTTTTAAATATGTAATTTTAGTTTTGTAAAACAATTAAATGTAATATTTAAAGTATATGCTACAATGACTCTATATTTCCCTACTGTTCGATCCCTCAAATATAGCATTGTGATGCATGGAGTACTCAGGAATTCGCTGTCTCATAGGTCTTTAATAACTTTTAAATTCCTAGATTAACTAGGAGATTCTATTCTGCAAATTGTTATTCTTAAACACTTCTGATGTGATTTAAATGGTAATGTTACTCATACTACTCATGATATATGTACTAAACTATTAGCTACCAGCCTGTATAGAGAGTTATTTAGATATATGTTCAAGAGCTGCGCCGTATGCACGTCTGTCAAGATCGCATCAATATCTGTCAACGAACAAGCCAATCAAGTCTCATTGTATGTGCGTTATTGAACCGATATCGAACGGCCTCCGAACACAGACTTGTATTAACAATTAATTGATTTACTCTCATATATCTATATGAAAATACTAATCTATAACTCAGTCTTCGATTATTAAATTATTTTTATTGACCCAAACATTCATAAAAGAAATTTATTTTTATGTTAAAATACGATTGTATTTGACAACATCGTAATTGTATAACAAATAAGACAATCAAAATTAGATTAAAAACAGCGAAGTCGTAAAGGAAAACCAATTTACGTAGACCCCTAAAGTACAAAGAGCTAAGTTAATTATTAGACTATCAGAATATTTGAGAGGCCACGCTTATGAAGACGGGGAGGATCGAGTTCTAAATGGTTGTTTGATTGACACTCCCTTGTGTGAATAATTTGAACCAAAACATTTGTATGTACCGCTTTATGAAAACGCAGACACTCGACACTAAACAGTATTGAATAGCGCAAAATGGTTCGTGATGGCTGGCGTTATTTGATGTTGTTTTTAAATATTTATCTAGCTTAATACCGATAACAGTCATTATTGGTGTAATAATTTAGCAGAACTATAGTTTATTACTTCAGGAAATCTGTAATAAAATAATTAGTCACACGCTATCTGAATGGAATTTGTCAAGAAATATTTAAATTTTATAAAAAAATAACATTCATAAAATTGATTTTCTTAAAGAGTCATTGGGAATATGTTCAATCGCACATACAGAATAGATCAATTCATTTGGTTTATATAACAAATCAATGTTGGAACACTTAAAACAGTTCGAAGTGATAAAACTATTTGCACTTAAAACATGTATTAGTGCAATGTATCCTAAAGAATGTGTTGTGTGGATTTAAGAAAGCAAATATATATTAATTGAGATACAATGAAAATACACGATTACTGAAACTCCCCATTAAATATCAATGTGATTTTCTAATTACGTCAAGTTTCAAACAACACGTAAAAGTAAATCATATGATTAGAATAATCAGCAACAAGTTTCGATTAACACTTGTGGGAAGGGATTAAAATAATCCGATAAATAACTATAATATTTTTTTATATATTACCCTAAAATATAATATATTAAATTTACAGTCAACCTTTGATCTAAAGGTATCATTAAATCTGAAATACATACTCGTACATACATGTATTTGACTTTATGACCAATAAAATTGTGTCGAACCCTGAATTCCCAAACAGTTAGTTATCATTTATCAAATTATATATAATAAATTAGCTTTCATTGATAAGTTTACAAATAAATGGTATTATCAAATGTTATCTATGTATTTTCTTAAACCCTTATAGATTAATCAATCTATATAAGGCATGGATGCCGAATCAGCTAATGTTAATCCATTTCTACATCATGAAGCTGGCCATTTTACTTTTGTCCTTAGCGGCCTTTGGGTCCGCGGATTTATTGAGCAATATCCTTAGTTACAATACGGCTTATGGATACTTGACTAAATATGGCATACCTGAAGCCGAAAGGATCAAGAAGGCTGAAGAAGAATATCTGAGAAACAAACCCTTTGTAGGCAGAATTATTGGTGGGTCCCCAGCTGCAGCAGGACAAATCAAATACCAGGTAAATATATCACTTTATTATGAAACTCAGCTTTTTGGACAACTACAATTCCATTACTTTTTAACAACGGTGATCACGGTGGCTTCTTTTGTTGTCTGCCCATGATCACGGTTTCTGAAAAGTTATCTAAAAGTAGGCAAAATTTGTAAAATAAATTACACAAAACCACGTACTTAATTAAAGAAAAATAGTACTCATTTTTTAAATCTGGGACATATATCAATTCACTTCAGCTTACGATAAGAGAATAATCGTACTATTCTTATTCGTCAAAGTCGATATCAAAAGCAAAGTTCTGTATCTTAACCACGTTTTGAAATGTTGATGATCATTAAAATTACAGGCTGGTCTCATCAGTGATATAATAGGAATATCAGGGAGAGGTGTTTGCGGAGGATCCCTCGTCTCAGCAAACCGGATAATTACAGCTGCTCATTGCTGGGACGATGGCAGAAACAAAGCCTGGAGATTCACTGTTGTTCTTGGATCAGAAACCCTTTTCACAGGCGGTACTAGAGTCCTTACCAGTGATGTGGTCACCCATCCACTGTGGTTCCCACTATTGATCCTCAATGACATCGCTATCATCCGTTTGCCAGAACCTGTTGCTTTGTCTGGTAAGTAAAATATTACAAAGATGTAAAACACAGGTTTCCTAATTTTAAGTACCAATAATACCAAGTACTCTCCAAAGTATATTCGTTTTACAATTTAAATATTCGCAGTAGTTTTAGATTTCAAAAACTATTGTCATTTTCAGATACCATCGGAACCGTTTCTTTGCCCACTGGATTAGAAATCTTTGATAACTTCAACGGTCAAGTCGCTACTGCTTCTGGTTATGGACTTACAAAAGATGGTACGAATATTTTTTTTTATTTAAATCGTTTATTTTCTTAGCCAAGTTTAATATAACTCTTAATAACAGGCGGCAGTATCAGCAACAGCCAATTCTTAAGTTACGTCAACATGTCTGTCATTTCAAATGAAATTTGCAACATCGCTTTCTTCGGTAACATTCGTCCATCGAACATTTGCACGAACACCCTCGGTGGTAAGAGTACTTGCCGTGGTGACTCTGGTGGTCCACTTGTTGTACAAAGAGGTGACAGGACTGTTCTGGTAAGTTATTATAAATTTAAAATTGTAATCTCAGGAAATTTAATGACCTATTTTATGAAAAATTTCGTAAAGATGATGAGATATCAATTTAATACTTTAACTCCAGATTGGTGTTACCTCATTTGGAATTGCTTTTGGATGCGAAATCGGATGGCCAGCAGCCTTTTCAAGAGTTACATCATTCCTTGGATTCATTAACGACAATATATAAATACAGGAATAACAAATCATAGCATGAATGTAAAAATATGTTAAATGCTCAATACAAATTAAATGTAATATATAAGTGTACGTTATATATGTGATATTTTATTCAATAACTCGTTTTCCTACAGTAATACCTGTAGATGTAAAATTATGAAACTTACTAATATTCTACTAACAAACTAGTGAATGACGAACTCATATCCCTTTTTCAGTAAAAACATTAACTTTGATGAGATCTTTATTTAAAACCTTGAACTGAATGCAACAGTTTTATACTGCGGTTACAGATACGAAATCTTTACACTTTCTTCAACAGTATGTTTTTCAGAGGTGAACTATAATTTCATTTTTCGTCGTTAAATTTTAATAATAATCTTGGTTACTAAAAAGTGTATCATCTGGTTTTCTAATTTTTCTCAATATCATATATTTATTAATATTAACAAGCCAGTCAAAAAGAAACAGTACAACCAATGAGATTTGTTCTTCACCTCTATAAAAATACTTTGTACGAAAATTGTTTTTATTGACCTCTAAATAAGAAATGTTTGATTTTAAGTCATAAAGAACAGATATTTCTATTACAAAAACCAAAGAAATAATCCAAGTCAACCGATGGAGTGTATGATAAATATAGACGCAAGATTAATGATTGATTGGCTTTAAAGACGTAATAATTTAACAGGATCTTTATTAACCTACTCTCTTATCGTATATATGAACACTGATAAAACATCACGTTTCACTAAATATAACAGAAATATTGATAAGTATGAATTAAAACTCGATAAATATTCCCACAATACCTACTTCATTTACCTATCAAAGCTGTTACAAAGTTGTATAAAATTTTATCCTTGTATGAGCACATATTTTTAATCCACGCAAGCTATAAATTGAAATTACCTACTGAAAACTGTTACATTATTTATATTTATTCTTATATTTTAAATATCAATGGAATAATTTTTAACGATGTTTGGGTCCACTTTTATTAACACTTTCTTCATCAACTATTTGTACATCTTGTAAAAGATGTTTTGGGTTAGGTGTGTCGAATGTGGCCAAACAACCGCCAAAAACTAATTCTATTTCTTCAGAGTATTAAGTGGTACCTTAAAATTCAATACGTTAATTTTACTCGTATTTATGTATAAATTATATTTATGACCTAAGTTTTATTTCTTACTATTCGGCCACCACTCTATTCGTTTATTACAGTTTAATTATTGTTTAATCGGATAAAAATATAGTTATCTATTTAATAAGCACATGTTCTTATACAGGGTGACTGGTGAATTACTATCGATACTTGAGGACGTGATATTTGACGATCATATATGACAAAATAAAAATTAATATAACATAAATATTAATAAACTTCTAAGTAAAGTTAACCAAAAGTTATGTAATTAATTACGCATCGTGTGAACACCCTACAGATTAGGTATACACTCACACTCACACATACGCGAGGGGGGCGTGGTGTTGTATCAGCACGCCGCCGCACGCGTCCACACTTGGAACACTTGGAACGTGTCAACACTTTATTTATTTATACGGAAATTTTGTCAAAAATTAAGTGCCTATTTTTTTTACATAATTCGAATGAGAATCATGTACCGAGTATTCTCCTTAAATATTGATAGTAATTCACCAGTCACCCTGTATAAAGTGTCACATAAAATTATTGTTTTTTTTTTCACAAACAACTTTATAAGAGCATAAGGACATGTTCAGTTAAATATCAGTACAAGGGTGAATATATCCTTAGAAACGAACTCCGAATAACACGTAAAAAACATCTGTGACCCAAAAACAAAGGTGAACTATTATCATTCTTGCAATAAACCTTACCGCAAATTACGATTTCTCTAATCATGGTTAGCATGCCGAACTACTACTTCTACTACTTTGTCTTAGATTTTTAAATCAACATATTTCAGCTACTAATAAAAGGATATTTTATTAAAGAATAAATTGATTTATCTAAGAAAAGAGTGCCTCTATCAATTCAGCTTGTAAAAAACTTGAAGCTGTGATATTCAATTTCCCAGGTGTCCCATAAGCATTCAATAAACCGTATCGAAGATAAGAGTTTTGTTCAAATATTGTCGTATTGTTTCAACTAAAATCAAAATAAAAAAATATATAATAACGGATCATCAAAATAAAAAAAATTATAATAACGTGTATACAATAGCCACGAAAGAGATTGTAGTACTCGAACTCTGAATTCTCAAACACATATGCCGCGTTTCCCCTTTCTTCATTCAATAGTGAGCCAACCTGTAGGTGGTAGAGCCTAGCTGTAATCATGTAACTACAATTCAAACATGGACTGGCAAGTAGTAGCCTTTAATGGCTAAAAAACATCGTAGAAAAGGAAACATCACAATGAATTTCATATTTCTTATGCTATTGCTAACCTAACAAAACTTTATTTATCTGATATACATATTGGTATCTCAATGATATTTGAGATAAAAACGACGGCAACACTTCTTAGGTTCCAGCATTACAATTCATAAGATAAAGTAAATTCTATGCTCTGCCTATTGATACAGATATTTATTAATATAATATTATTTTCTTGTCTTTGTGGCTTCAAAACCAGTTAATTGTACAGTTAAGATTTAAGAAATTATATGTACATTGTACATGTTATATTTACGTAAGTAGCTCAGTTATAGTATGTAGTAGTTCCTCATCTGACAGAAAAACGAGAATGTGTTTCTTACTATTCAAATTTTTATTCTTCAGGAAGATTATGAAGTATTTAAAAGTATGACAAGGAAATAAACGACGTTATATCCTACAAAATTCCTTAAATAACATTCGCAAGAAATATTTAACGATATCTTAGTTTACCAACAAATGAACTTATTTTTTTTCCTAAATCAACCTATAGTAAAATGAAGATAGCGTTATGTTTGATATCTTTTGCGCTTTGCACTTCTGCCGGAACATTGAACAGCACTGCTTCTCGTTCTTATTCTACTTACGGATATTTAAGAAAATATGCCATACCAGAAGCAGAACGCGTTAGAGAAGCAGAAAAAGAATATTTACGCAAGAAGCCGTTAATGACCAGAATTACTGGTGGATTGCCTGCATTATCTGGGCAATTTAAATATCAGGTAAAGTTAAATGATCCTTTTTCTTGACACTTTTTATTCAAAGATAATAAAAAGCTATCATAATCATAATTTATTTCCAGGCTGGACTCATCAGTGACATTGTCGACATTAAAAACAAAGGACTATGTGGTGGCTCACTGCTCACTAAGAATCGTGTATTAACAGCTGCTCATTGCTGGTATGATGGTGAAAACCAAGCTTGGAGATTCACTGTTGTCCTTGGATCACAACTTCTGTTTTTCGGTGGAACTAGAATTCTAACCAGTGATGTTACAACCCACATTTATTGGTTTCCATCGTTTAATGTGAACGATATTGCCATAATTCGGTTACCCGAACCAGTTACTTTATCAGGTAAAGAAAACAGAAGTAATACATTAAAAGTTATAGATTTTTTACCTGTCTTATATGGATAGAAATTTTATAAATACTCGTGATCTTTTTTCGTAGATAGCATCGGAACCGTTTCTTTGCCAGTAGGTTTGGAAGTATTTGACGACTTGACTGGCGAAATTGCTACTGCCTCCGGTTTTGGCTATACAAGCGATGGTGGGTAGTTTAACATATTAACTTTATTGTACTGCCGTTTGTTAAAAAATATGTTTTTTCCAGGCGCCAACGTTACTGAAAACCAATCCTTACATTACGTCAATATGACGGTGATTTCAAACGCAGTTTGCAATGTTTTTTATGCTGGTGGAATTCGTTCATCAAACATCTGCACTAACACTTTAGAAGGAAAAAGTACATGTCATGGTGATTCAGGTGGACCTCTTGTCTTTTACAGAAATGAAATGACCTACATTGTAAGACTAATTTAATTTCTATTATTATATTTAGGACTTAAAAATAACTTTGGTAAACAATAACAAATATTAATTTATTCTAGATTGGTGTTACTTCATTTGGATCTCTGTTTGGGTGTGAAGCTGGCTGGCCCGCTGCTTTTGTCAGAGTTACGTCGTATCTCAAATTTATATACGAGAATCTTTGATTTTTAATGTACCTATCTAACAAATCATGTACTTATTAAAAAGTTTCGTACACATTAATACAATAACAAGATTAAAATATTTCCATTAATGGAAAGAAAATAACGAATTATAAAGAACAATAATAACGAATTAATATCAACAATACTTATTACGGGGAAGAACATATATTTATTTATTTACATTCTTGTTAATCCGACTGTACAAATATTATTTTTTCAAATATATGTACTTATACTGAGTGGTTTCAATAAATGTTTTTACTTAGAGCCTAGATACTGCTAGCATATCTTATAATAACATGATTTTTATACAATAAATATTGCTTAGTTTAATATGTACATTTTGTGAAGCATAGTTTTTATATAATGTACCTTTTTCATAATAATAGATACACTATATCATTATTGAAATAAACTGAAGTTGCTTAAATCCGTTTAATTCAGATCACAATCAGTTACAACTAATTCAAGAAAAAATACATAAATACGTAAATAGGTATGACATACATTTTGTACGTAACAATAAAAAACATCTAGATCGTTTGTTTATGGTTCATTTTACTTTTTATTCCATTTTTTGGCGCAGTGACAGTTAAGGCTACTTACATTTGGTTCAAACATATTGTGTGAATTTATATAGAGATTCATTGTAGTGATATTAACTCTAAGCCATCACAAAATATAGACCCGTGTAATGGCTCAAAATTAAAATTTAAAAAATCTAGATTTATCTAAAAATTTACCTATCTACTTAATGTGTTCCTTGCTCAGTGAAGCAGATTTCGTATAATAAATCTTTCAAGAAAACTCATTAAAATAGAGCTGCATAGATATGTAATAAAAAGTTCTGAAAATAAACGTAATTGTTTTTAAATAATAAATATATGAATTTATTCTTCTATCTTGAACCACATGAAGACTGTTACTTGTAAAATTCTTTATAAGACTGAATGTCCCACCCGTCTGTTTTAAAATTTCTATTTGATTTTTGAATATTATATATTAAATTTAGTTTTAAATACCTATTAAACCTCAACAATTTGTTACAGATATATTATGTAATATAATTATAATTATGTATATCCGTAGGTAAGCAACAGTACATTATTATTATTTATATTGAGAAATCCCAAACTAACTTATCATCATAATCTGTATTGGATTTCGGAATTGGAATCACGTTTTAATAGATAGATGTATTTTATCATTAAACTCATTCATCATAATTTTGTGATAATCTAATTTATGGTGTAATAAGTTTTAGAATACCGCAACTAGCTAGTGACGTACTTTGCATTGATGAAACGGAATTCATAAACAAAAACGTCATTACATTCTTGTGAATACGATACTTCATATTTTGATATGCTGTAAAAGATTCAATATTGAGGTATGCTTGGAACCTTTTACCTATAAGGTACCTTTATAAAGCTTCATTTCATTATCTGTCAAAGAAGGAGTCTTTAAACGAGACCCATTTTCAGTTCCAGAAATTTGTAGACCAGGAGCTAAATCTATCTTTACAAGCGGTTTAAACTTTTTCATATTGAGTAATCAGGCTCATTGTTTTTTACACCTACATTTCTCTTAAAAGTTAGAAATATAGAACTATAAAATCAGCGATACCCAATCTAGATTCGGAACACCCAACTACTTGAGAAACATAATATGCTTTGCCAAATTATCTTATAATTCTGCACTGGGATTAATTGCCTTTCTAATACTTTAAAAGACAAACATATCATATTGTTCATTCAAAAGCTAACTTTTATAATTTACCATAACTTCTTCATCGAAAAAGATTTGTATTTTGAAGACTAAAAACTCTCATTGAATGAAATTTATTTCTATATTTAATCCTGGTAATTTGGTTAGTCTTCTCTAGTGACACTGAGAAAATAAAATCTAAAATTCAGGTAAACATATTGCACTTGATTCAGAATTTCCAGAGAGATTTAAATAAATTTCTATTGAAATAAATGAAATATTTTAATTTATTTAAGTTTTTTTTAATAATAACCTTAAAACAAAATACACTATAGCATGTCAAAATTCTACTTGCAACGAAACGTCTTTAGACAAACTAGAAAATGACTTATGACAGCATGACGAGTAATATTTTGACAATAAAATATAATCTGTGTGCTACAAACATTGAGTGGAATTAATTCGTTAAATACTCTCAATAACTTTGAATAATGGAAGAAATTGGTATTATTCTCCCAGAAAAGGTAAAACTAAAACAGAAGCATATATATTACGCTATAATTCAGTTTTATTCTAACATTACGTTTATTGGCAGGATGACCAAGTCACCGACACAAAAGGCCTATCATTTGCAGGTCCACAATCTTTTGACGAATTGGAATCTGAAGATCTGTACACAAAATACAAGGTATATTTAAATATAGATAAATTCTATTAATTTGTAAATTATTTTAATCAAAAAATATCATCTTTATTTTCAAACAGACTATCTCATAATGTATTTGTATTACTGATTTGTATTACAGAAACTGCAACGGATGTTAGAGTTTCTCGAAGTACAAGAAGATTACATAAAAGATGAACAAAGAAATTTAAAGAAGGAATATTTGCATGCCCAAGAAGAGGTGAAAAGGATTCAGTCGGTACCTCTGGTCATTGGCCAGTTCCTTGAAGCAGTTGATCAAAATACTGGAATCGGTAAATTGATTGCAACCATTACTTTTATACCTTGAAAGAGCTAACACACTAACTGATGTATTTTATTGTTCTTTTTGCCAAAACCTTTTGTTTTGTATATTTTATTATTGAGCAAAGTCATTATACTTTATTGTATAAAGTATAAGTTTATGTATTGAAAATGTTTTGTAGCCTATAGATAGGTGAAAATAGGTATGTTATAATTTCAGATTTAATAAGACTGATTCAATTGGGCACTCTCATCTTATGTGCTCACAGTTAATTCGGTGTAGTGTTAATGTAAAATAAAAATGAGAATGAAATTTTTTTAAATTATTAAATCTAAAAACCATATAATTACATTGTATTACATGCACACATTTTAAATATTACATATTATAATCTGCCAATTTTTAATAAATTTGTCATAGGAACAACATAACCTTTTCTTTCAGCAGAGACATGTTGCATCTAACTAAAACAATTATATTGTTTAATTTCTGCTAGCCAAATGAACAATAGCTAAACAACAAGCAAAACCTAGACTCTAAATTATTGTTTTTATTTCAGTTGGTAGCACTACGGGTTCAAATTATTATGTACGGATCCTTTCTACAATAGACCGAGAGCTTCTAAAGCCATCTGCCTCGGTTGCTCTGCATAAGCACTCCAATGCTTTAGTAGATGTATTGCCACCAGAAGCTGATAGTTCCATATCTATGTTACAAGCCGGTAAATATGATTATTTTATAATATATTTCCTAATATAATTGTCTCAAAAATTAATAAAATCAACAAAAAATCACTTTAATTTCAGACGAAAAGCCAGATGTTCAGTACTCAGATATCGGAGGTATGGATACACAGAAACAGGAAATCAGAGAGGCCGTTGAACTGCCTCTGACACATGTGGAACTTTACCGACAGATTGGTATTGAACCTCCTCGTGGTGTGCTCATGTATGGACCTCCGGGTTGTGGCAAAACTATGTTGGCTAAAGCTGTTGCTCATCATACAACTGGTATGAAAAATATACAGTAGCTATAAACGTATATATCATCGAGGATAGTGCAAAACCACGTAACTAGCATTGGATAATTTCGCGTATCTGCATTGGAAACAAAATATCAGAGGAAAGTTTAAGCTGAAATAGTTTTCTAAATTAACGATTTTTAAAGTAATTTTTTCACAATTAGTAACAAATTAAACACTAAATAATTGATAATTGTGAAAAAATTACTTTAAAAGTCGTTAATTTAGAAAATTTTCAGCTTAAACTTTCTAAAACTTTGCATTTATTGATAACACACCAAACATTTCGGTGTTCATTCTTATAAAATATAATGTTATGATTTAAACTGATATTTAAATGTAAATAATTACTTCAACTACTAAATAATAATACTGGAATCTTCATTGAAAAGTATATACTCACTGTTTCCTAATTTCCAGCTGCTTTCATTCGTGTCGTTGGATCTGAGTTTGTCCAGAAGTATCTCGGTGAAGGTCCCCGAATGGTCCGTGATGTATTTCGTCTCGCTAAAGAAAATAGTCCAGCTATCATATTTATAGATGAGATTGATGCTATCGCTACCAAAAGGTACTATATTACATAATTTATTACACTACTATTGTAGATATATTTTTTTAAATGTTTGTCTATTCAAATTTTTTAAGTTTAGAATGACTATTTTTTTTTTTGTTTTACCTTGATGAAAATGTTACATTGTTTACATATAAAGCAGGAAAATGAATTGATATAAATATTCCAAACTTTGTTTTCGTAATATAGATGTTTATATTATTGTAGCATATTAAAAGCTATATTTTACACAAATGCATTATATTTTTAGATTTGATGCCCAAACCGGTGCTGACAGAGAAGTTCAAAGAATTTTGCTTGAATTGCTGAATCAAATGGATGGTTTTGATCAAACCACTAATGTTAAAGTATGTATCTACTAATACCTCTATTTTATTTAATAGTAACTTTATTTTTTCTTCTTCTACCTGGCAATTTCGCAGCTATAGCCAGGGTCTGCCTTACATGTTGGGTATAGTTTTGGCTTATGTTTTTACGACCGGCCGCCTGTCTGACATCAACATTAATCAGTGATGTCTAAATAATCTTAGAAAGTACATATGACTCGGAAAAATCACATTGGTACTTGCCCGGGCCATAATCGAACCCGCGCCCTCGGCAACGAGAGGCGGGCTCTTTAACCACTAGGCCACCACTGACTTAGTCACTTTATTTTTTGTTATTAGTTTATTATAATGGCAAATCCATATTTCAGGTAATTATGGCAACTAATCGAGCTGATACATTGGATCCTGCTCTACTAAGACCAGGTCGTCTTGATAGAAAAATTGAATTCCCACTCCCGGACAGGTAATCTCACTCACTAAATAACTCCAATAAGAAATTGAAAGATCAACATATAAAGATTCAGAATATAGCACTAAAAAGTTTTAAATTCAAATCATATATAAATATTATTTGTTGTTACTATATAGTAACTTTACTCCTAGAATAATTCAATATTATAATTTAAAAGTATCAAATATATTTCATAATATTTTTTAAGATCTAAAAATAATGTTAATTTGTATTCAGACGTCAGAAGCGTCTGATCTTCTCGACTATCACAGCCAAGATGAATTTGTCAGAAGAAGTGGATCTTGAGGAATTCGTAGCTCGACCTGAACGTGTATCAGGTGCTGATATTAACGCCATCTGCCAAGAAGCTGGAATGCACGCTGTTAGAGAAAATAGGTATAAATAAATATACATAAATATAATATCATTATCATCAGCCTATCAGAGCCAACTGCTGAGCGAAAGCCTCTTCTCACATGGAGAAGGTTTGAGTATTAATCCGCCACAATTGCTCAAGACGGGTTGGCGGTTTCAAACTTATAATTTCAAATTATAAGTCCAGGTTCCCTCACGATGTTTTCCTTCACCATCTTTTAATGGGGTCTAAATACTCTTAGAAAGTAGATATGACTCGGAAAAATCACATTGAGACCTGCCAGGTTTCGAACACCCAACCATCGTGCATAAGGGACAGACCTTTAACCACTAGACCGCCACAACAATATACATATACATTTCCTAACTAATATGAGAGTAGAACAAAATAGAAAATGCTATTGTGATTCTATATTACGATATTAGGAATTTTCTGTTGTAATTTTGTATATTATGTTCTATAACATCTGTATAAAAGGAATTCTTCATTAATATTTAAAAAAAAATTATGAACTCTATTCATTTACAAATATGAAAATTTTTCTCTTCTGTACATACCTATTTAAAAATCTTTTTTTTTTCTAGATACATCGTTCTTCCTAAGGACTTTGAAAAAGGTTACAAGAACAACATCAAGAAGGATGAATGTGAATATGAATTCTATAAATAAGTATTTTTATATAGCCATCTGTAATTCAAATAAAGTTATTTGTGTCTGAAAACTTATTTATTTCATACTAGCTTTCCGCCCGCAGCTTCGCCTGTGGAGTTCGGTTATATCGCGTTTCCAAGAGAACTTTTCAAAAGTCTGGGATAAAAAATATCCTATGTTCTTTCTCAAGGTCAACTCCATCTCTGTACCAAATTTAATTAAAATCATTTATAATATTAGTAGGGGTTTTGTATTAAAACAATGGCGTTTGTTTCTAAATGTATATTTCATAACAGGTCCTATTTAACAATGTGATAATATTACAATATATTTGGCATATGATCTTATATAGCTGATGCAAAACTTAAATATATTATGTAAATTGTCACTTGATTCAAATTTATTTGTGATGAAAATATGATTTTTATATTGAAGTAATAAAAATACAGAATAACATCCATACAAAAAATTCATACCTAATTACAATTTTTGAACATATGTCAGTCATTTTTAATAAGATTTTAGTTACATTGTATATTAGATTTAATAAATAGTAGCTAAATGAAAAAAAAGAACAATATAGTGTAAAATTTCAACAATGATATCTTATTAGATTTTACACTAAACATTATATTTGTTGTACATAATTTTTCTCATAAGAATAAAATGTAAATTTTGTGGTGGCTCTTAGATACACTAAAACTTTTATAAGGCAAACAACAAACAGTGCAATATGTGCTTACATCTAACTAAGGCGCGTATTAAGGCACTTATCTATTCAAGGCAAATAAATACATTAATTCGTAGTACATAATTAGATTGAGGTACAAAATGTGGAAAAACATTCACGTTACAGATTTGATGTTAATAAATTTTCTCGTTACAATAAGAGCATATTAAGAAAATGGTAGTAGTGAGCCCAAATGTATAAGTTGAGATATGATATAAACATTATTAATATTTTTGTAATTGAAAAAAGATAATTTTCATGACTTAAGCACTTTAATCACTTGATTACAAAAACAAAGATTTTGACTCAATAACTGCGAGTATTTCTATGCTCTATTATATTAACAAACATTATTGCTTAAACAAAAAAAGACAACCTTTTATTAAACACTTATTCCTCAGTTCTTAATTTGAATAAAATTATCATTTGATACTATTTTCATACCTTTACATTTGGGTTCAAGAATAAATGGAATGACTTTCTTTTTCTAATCAGTTATTTTCCATAAAACAAAATAATAAACATGCATACAGTAGAGAATAATGTCAGGAAAATTTATGATAGTATGTTACATATTTTGATTATTTGTGGTGCAATACAAATATTCATACATATTTGGAATACAACAAAAATATTTAATTATTTACACCAAATGATATACACAAAAATAAATAACAATGGCAACATTTATATATATCGCCATATAAGAGTTATATCAAGTTTTCTTTAACAACTTTGATTCAACTCAGTCATGATTTTGAATTAACTGTAACACCAATATAAAAAATATACATATAAAAGTCATATGATTTTGGAATGTAAACCCTAAAATTGGTAATAAAAAAACTTATAAGTAGGTGTTAAACATTTGCACTACCATATACTTGTTAATACAACTCGATAACCACCAAATAACATATTAAACAATTTTAATCAAAATAAGTACAAATTTAGCCAATTCTATAATACTGATTAATTTAATGAGGCACATACACCTGGCACATAGAAAAACGATAACATCGAAAACATTTTCAATCATTAAATAGAACTTTTATGTTTCAATTAACAAAATTATTGTATGGACGGGGTGAAAACTATGTTTAACTGACAATAAATATTAAAAGGTACATACCCTTTACATTAAATACAACTAGCGATAGACTTAAAACGTTTGAAGTCATAAATACAAAAGGAATGAAAGCTTTGAACATGGAATGGTTTAAAATAAAATGTTTTATAATAAACTAGCATTAAAAATCTCATTATCTTCTAAAAAATTTACCACCTCTATAATAACATGAGCATTCAAATATTGGCAAAACTTAACACTTAATTTTGGTGTAAAATATTCATATTCTGAATAAAAATTTTCACTGGTATTAAGAGCAGCATCTGGAAATAATATAACTACCTATTAGGTTTCATAAAATTATGTACACATTAATACTAAGGCAGCATTTATTAATTATGTAAACTCAAAACAGGGTGTTCCAGTAAAATAGCAAAAAAAAACTAATTTTATTCCGGGTCCCATATGACTTATAAAAAAATTCATTTAATATTGTATAGTGCGTTTGATTTAAGCTGAGCTTTGCCTTTGTGTGAGTGTACACTGATAGTGTGGGTGTGATGTCAAATTTTTGAATGCCACGTTCTTTTCTAGTTTTGAACCGGTTTATTCTGCTTTTACTCCGCCCCGCACCTTCCGCACTTCACCTTTTGTACTGATAGCAAAATCAAATGTTGAAAAAACAATGTCAAGTGAAGAAGAATGTGTATAGTTTTCTCAAAATGTTTATTAATAATTTTTTTTTTCCATAATATTAATAATAGTTCCATCTGGCCTTTTACAACTTTTGCTTGTTATATAGCACTTATGTTATGTATCTATTTAAAATAAAATAAAATTTAATTTTAAACCTTTTTTGTCTAGCACTACTTTTACTTTTATTCTTGTAATACTGAAATTACGTCGTCATCAGCCTATCAGCGCCCACTGCTGAGCAAAGCCTCTTTCTCACATGGAGAAGATTTGAGCATTAATCACCACGCTTGCTCAAGATGGGTTGGTGATTTCAAACTTATAATTGTGAAACTATAAGTCCAGGTTTCCTCGCGATGTTCTCCTTCACCGTATGTCAGTTGTGTCTAAATACTCTCAGAAAGTACATATGCCTTCGAAAAGTCACATTGGTACTTGCCAGTTTGAACCCGCGCCCTCAGCAACGAGAGGCGGACTCCTTAACCACTAGGCCACCACTGACTTTATTCACACAAACGCAAAGCTCAGCTTAAGTCTAACAGACTATATCACTTTTTATTCATGCTGTAAATATCATTAAACAGTAATTACCAGTATATATGTGAGAGTTTGCGTGGAGTCGTTCAGTTGCCGTGAGGCATCAGCGGCACGAGGATGGCGGGTGGTCCCGCTCGCCTCAGGAACGGGTGGTGCAGGAGGTGTGCGGCGGAGTGGCGGGCGGCCGGGTCACGGACTAACGCTGACTCTATGAGGGACGTGAGGTCGGCGGGGCAGCGGGGCAGGCCGCGGGGGCGGGGGGGAGGCATGTCGCGGATACGACGCATGGCCTGCAGAATATAATGTATAGTAATGAAATATAAGACTTTATAGACTAATTAACTAAAAAAACATTGTCCAGCGGACAAAATTGTGAATCTAAAAAAATCCCAGATCCCCTTGAACACACACAAAAAATTTCATCAAAATCGGTCCAGTCGTTTGAGAGAAGTTCAGTGACAAACACACTCACAGAAGAATTATATATATATAAAGATTATTATATCGGTGGGTCCTATGTATAAGGGCCAATGTGCAAAATAAAAATTGTTCAGTAGTGGAGTTTTAAGTTTTATATCAATGTATCTTGTACATGCGACATTGATGAAACTTTGAAACTTTGTATATCAACTATGACATAGATGTATGTCATTTAAACTGCATAAAATTATTTGTAAACCTACTAGTTTTTTCTAAATATATATATTTATAATATACATTATATAAACCCCTATACGTAAAAAAGTGTATTATTTATGATTTTTTACTATAATGAAAAATAAGTATTTCCACCACAAATACACAATGTTGGATTACTAAGCGTAATTTTATTATTTTTAAAACTACATACACCTTACGTTTCGGTTACTTATCACTTTTGGATTCACATATCGTCTGCCCGTCATCACCGTTGCTACAAAGTATGTATCCCAAACGTCGGGAGTATGTAGTTTAATAGTAATGAAATAACGCGTAATAATCCGAAAATATAAATTTCATTTTTTATTGTATACTATAATACAAGAAACAAACGAAATATATAGACATGAAACAATATTATAGCCAGATGAACATTTCAACCAGACAATCTTTTTTGGTACTTGTACATATAAATTATATATATAATTTTTTTTTTGTTAATATTGAACAATTTATTACATGAAATTAAATCTATATCAAATAAATGTGCCCCTTTTACTTACTTGCAGCGGTGGTTCGTTGAAGAAAGGCGGTTCGCCATCAACCATCTCTATGATCATGATACCCAAAGACCAAATATCAACTTCCGGTCCATACGGAAGTCTGGATACCACTTCCGGGGACATCCAATATGGCGTCCCCACTAGAGATTTTCGTTTCGGTAATTCCTGGAATAATTCATATAATAATCATTATTATTTACCTTTATTATTACGCCATACTAAATGTCATATAGATATAATAAGAAAAATTAAATCTACCAGTATTGCCATTAATAAGTATTCTATACAATAGCAATACTGAGGAATAGATAAGAATTCTAATCTTAGAAATTTTAATATATTACATGAATTTTTCAAACTACTTCTTATACAAAACTGAACCGAATAAAATATTTAAAGTTTCTAAACCATTTTTTATATAAAAAAAAATCAATAATTTCGTCCATTTGAAAATAGCTCTGATATAGTTTTTAACAGATTATATATACATTGATGCTTTACCTGAGACACTTGAGCACAGAAACCGAAATCGGATAATTTAACTCTACCGTCCGATGTCAACAGTATTGAATCGGATTTAATGTCTCGATGTATAACGCCTTGGCTGTGTAGAAATGCTAATGCCTGGAAATAAATTACATAATTTAAAAAAAATGCAACCAAATTTTATATTAAAAACATTTTGGATAATTTGATTTATTTGAAAATCTAAAAAGATTGTAAGCTAATAATAACAAGACTTTCCTTACTGTAAAGGTTATTGACCTCGTTTTTTTATAGAAAAGTTTATTAAAAGCTTCCAATGATATTTTTCTAATATTATATATCATACCTTAAGACACTGTTTGCACACAGTAGCAATTTGTTCCGGATCCATTCTAGAGCGTGTAACGATTTGTGTTAGAGACGCGCCCGCCATGTATTCCATGACGACCCACAGTACATCACCCACCAGGTAAGACGCGTGCATCTCTACTATGTTAGGGTGAGGGTAGTCGCGCATTATTACCTGAAAAAAATATAAGACAGAAAATGTATTAAAATTTTTGAAATATATCGAAGATGAAGCAACGTGAAATATCTTTATTAATTTAAAAAAAAATCAGTATACAACAACTTAATATTGGATTTATTATTTTAATGAATTCTATACATATATAAAGAAGAATAATTTTCTTCACATGTCATAGACAAACATTTAATATTGTTATCTGTGGTTTATTTTAAAATGTATAACTTATAACGAAACTATTGCCAAGATCAGAACTTGTGAAAGAGATCATATTTATATTAATTGCGATTTTGGAAACGGCTTTTAATGCTATCATATATAGAGCAAGAACCCAAGACGGCCAGCCCTTTATACTTTAACAAAAGTTAAGAACTATTTAATACACCTTTACTACCTGATAGTTATCAGAAAGCCACAACTCAAACTCCATATTCGCTAGTCGTTTTGACATACATATATACAGACATGTACAGAGAAACTTTCAACTTTTATAAAATAATGAAGGTCTGGCCGTCGTGGGCTCTTGGGCTAATACGTATGTATGTAAATGTTATATAATAATTAATGACTGACCACTTCATTGAACAGCAGTTCTCTACGGTGTTGTTTGAGCAGGTTCATCATTTTAACAGCGACCCGTTTCCTTGTACGCGTGTCGGTGGCTGCGCATACTACCCCCGTACTGCCTTCACCGATCTTAGTGAATCCGGTTAAAGTCTCGCGAGGATCACCCTCACTCACCACCAGGCGAAGAGCAGCTCGAAACTGGATAATAAATATATATTAAATACATATAATAATGAGATCTAAGATCTCATATCGTCTGCTCGTGAGCATGATTGCAGCAAAGTAACTGTAATGTTGAGAGTATGTAGATAAAATAATAATAAAAATGCGTATGTAGTTAAACCGAAAATATAAGTTTTATTTACAAGTAATTGTGTTTTATGTATTAGCGTGGTATGAGTATATTATGGAAACGGATGAATGTCATGTTACAAGAAGAATCTTAGATAGGATTGTGGATAATATGTGGGTTGAGGTAGACATATGATAATATGGTTGGATTCTATGAAGGATAACATGAGTAAAGGTGTGACTGTTTATATGACGACTGATAGGCGATAAAGGAACAGAAAGAAGAAGAATAATACATTATGTAAATTTAAATTAAGAATGATTTTCTTGATACAATATGAGATTTATAAATTGCGATGTTTTCCGAAAAATTACATTTTCATTTATATGTTTTATAACATTATAAATGTTGAATGATAAATTCATTGAAACGTATTCGAATCCGCAATACCGAATATCGACTTTTAGCTTTTTCGAAAACTCTCGACCAACATTCATACGATTGAACTAAAAGCCTTTAATACATAAATCCATTGATACTCATGCAAAATAGACCTGTATGGCCCACACATCTTATTACTTAGTGATTTTATAGTTATTTTTAATTAAGAAAAACTTGTTTTTTTGTATGGTAACAATTTTGTATCATTCATTCATAAAACAATTTCACATTTTAATTAATGGCAACAATTTTTTAAATTGAGAATATTATGAAATAGCTTTTTTAATTTTCTATATACGATTCTTATCAATTCGTTTGTTGAAATTAATGGGTATGGTCATAAAAAAGGCAAGCTCAAGTGTTTGACACTTGAAATTCATGTCAAAGCTTTAAGGATTCGGGTCACGAGCTATATCCCAGGGCGAATTGTAAAGAGGTTTTCCAGGACAGGTTATTGTATAATGATGTCACGTTTTGTATACCAACTTTCTACTAAGATAGCAACATATTTAAAAATCTATACGTAAAACTGTTATTTTTGTATGCTACTTTGGAGTCAAATTTATTATATATAAGTTGGACAGTCCTGAAAGAAGCAATTACTTATACATACATTATCTTAATACTCTTTTTAATTTTATTAAGGAGTTAAACTGTTTCGTAATAGAATTAACACTGACACATGCTTAAAACAGATAATACATGTTTGTGACCGAGTTCTTTTATGTAGGCTGTATTATCAATATATTTTGTAATTATTATCTTTTCAGTTTGTTTATATTAATGATTTTTAAGTAATTATATATGTATATAATATATACCTGTTCATGAGTCAATCTCAGTTCATGCTTAGATTCTCCCAATGGTATATGCGGAGGGCCAGGTTGTTGTGGTCGGAGAGATTGTGGGTAGCCGTCTCCTGAAAGAACAAAAATAAGACATTACATTCACACAATGATGGTTTATGTGGCAGCAAATATTTAATACTATAATCCTTACTACGATTTTGCAGCTTTGAACTAAATGCAAAACAGTTTTCCATTTAAATATACCATATCTATATTAAGAGTATCATTGCAAAGGTTTACATTTGAGAAACTAGTTATTCTATGTATTTCAATTAACTATAACACATGTGATAAGCCTCTAAACTGATTTGAAAAGATAACAAAATCATTTAGAAATATAATTTTTTATGTACTGATTTTTATAAACATTATGTAAGCTCTCATTTTATATAAAAACAATTTCGTATCTATATATGCAACTAACAATTTTAACAATTTTATAGCCTTTAAATTTCTTAATTGATAAATTGATTCTATTATCTAATTTTACCATGATCAACATATTTTTTAAATGTTGTAATGACAAAAACTACTATACTATATATATAAAATATTGTAATTGTTTCTCTTTCTACCTACCTAGATTATTGTTTCCATTAACTGTGTGTGGACCAGGAATAGGCAGCGGTGGGTGATTGTGTTGGTACGGGACATTAGCATTCTGAATATTCTGATAAGTCATTGCCGCCTGTTGGTTGTCATTGACCTCGCTAAGATTCCTTACAGTCGCTTCGTGTGAGTGTGACCATTCGACTGGTGAATCTGATATAGGTTTGTTTATAGAGAAGTTGCTTTGTTCCCGTCTCAAACTCGGGTACTGCGGAGGCGCGGGAACTTGCGGGGACTCTTCAGGTACAGACGGTGGTATATTTGGATGATTGCGGAAATCTCGTCTTATCCTAGGCGGACTTGTGCTTCTTAGCGAATTCGATCTCGCAACATTTGATGTTTTCGGAAGAACTACGCCATTTTGTACTGGCTGGGTCATAGGATTAGTGGATAGTGGTCTTGAAACAGTAGCCACTGAAGAGGCTCTATGATCTCCGCGGACTATAGTTTTTAAATCTAATATTTCGGTAGGTGTTATTTCTGAGGGATCAACTAAAGGTAACGGGCGATTTGTTGACTTGAGTATCTAGAACAAAAATGTTTTATTATGGTCAGACAAAATATATAAAAAATTTAAAATAAACCTGGGCTTGGGTTGTAACTTAGAAACCACAATTTGAGCATTGTTGCACTATCCAAAACAATATTTAAAGGATAATTTGATTTATTTTACGCATTATTTTACTGTACCTGGTTATTGCCAACAAGAGAGGCCCATTGCAGAGGCAATCCCACAAATTTTCCCTCGCTCTTATCAAAGCCAGTGTGGACTCTGTGTTCAAAGTTACTTGGTGGCGAAATCAGAGGCTTCTTCTTTTTTTTAGAAAACATTTTGGTGAGCTATGCTGCGGAAATTAATATAATATACACATAAACACAAGATACAACTAGTACTTTAAAAAAACAACTTCATACTTGAAAAACTTGTTAATTACTAAGAAAGTAAAGGAACTGTCTGAATGATTACTGTATAATGTCAACAAGTACAGGAAGCAAAAGAAAGTGTATTCGAAACTAAATACCTGAAATAATTATTTGTTTTCAATTTTACGCGCATTTCATGCCTCATTAATCGAAAGTTCTATGCGGAAAAGCGAAATAATGCAATACTTACCAATATATTAGCTGTATGGAGTATTTCACGGATCCAAACACACCTAATTTAATTTCACTTCCATGATATTCTCTCGAGCCATGCCACCCAACTTTACTATTTTAAGCGCCTCCAAACATTAATAACATTAAACACATGGAAATCAGTAAATCTTAACTGTTTAATAACAAATAAATTCTGTTAAATATACTATAACTGCATAAATCACCTCACCCTACTGATCACAGAGCTCTCTACAATTGTAAAACTACAAGTTTTAGCTCATCGGTAATCAGTATTCGGTATGCGTTCAAGAACAGCTTATGTCGAAATTCCTTTACTAACACGTTTGGTTTTTGCTGTCATAAAAAATGGCAAGCAAGATAGATGACACACGTATCGTAAAATGTATCCAAATTATTTCCTTTGACTATATTAGAAATTATTTAAGTCGTTATTTAATCATTTATATTAAGACACAAATTCATTATTGATATGAATAAAAAAATATATTTTTCCATTCCTTCTCTTCAATTTGTGGTGATGGTACTGATAAAATCCAATCATCAATATATTTATAACTTTTGTATATGGTTTTATATATATTTTTAATTTAATGTTTGGATGTTATAGCAATGTTTTACGAATTTCGCTATTACAAGCAGAGATAGAAAAAATTGTTTTAATTGACAGATTTTGTGTTTAAGTTGACAATTGATATTAAATTTTAAATTTATACTAGGTACTACTCAATAGATAGGTTTGTAACTACTACCAAATTACTAATCAACACTGTCAATAGGCAACAGTAAACACCGAAGTTAAGTAAAAATTAAAGTATTTGATATACAACATAGTTAAAATGAAAGAAAAGCGTTCCAAAAAACATAAGAAAAGCTCGAAGGAAAAGAGATCTAGTGAATCAAAGAAAAATAAAAAAAGAAGACAGGTAAGTAATGTTAATGCTATGTAATGTTAGTGTATATGTTTACTATTACTCATGAATTTATTTAGTCCTCAGATTCCTCATCAAATTCTGAATCAGATGAGTGGGTTGAGCAGGAAAGAGTTAAAAGTGAGTCTGCTGGTAGGGATGAATGGATGGCTATGACTGGAATGCTGAAAACATACACCAAGGATGATATTAAACCAAAACAAGATAAAGCTGAGAAAATGCACATTGATTCATACAACCCAGCCACAAGCAGTAGAGAATTGAACCCATACTGGAAGGATGGAGGCTCCGGTGTACCACAATCGTCAGAAAGCCTATCAAAAAGTAGAAAATTTATGAAGCCATCATATGACGATGATTATTATAACACATCTAGTTCATCTAGCAGAAATAAGAATGATAGGCCATACAAGCAGAATAGAGATTATGAAAGATCTTCCAACTGGAAAAAGGAAACAATTGATAGAAGGGAAGAAGATAGGAGAAAATACCATGATAAAAAAGATAATTTAAATTCTGAACATGATAATAAAGATAAAAGGATTGAAAAAGATGATCGTATACATGACAATTTAAAGAAAAGCATTGAAACAAAAACACCTGATTCCTCAACAAAAGAGAGGAAAGATTTGTATCTATCTGATGAAAAGATGAATAAATTAGCAGCTAAAATCGTTAAAGCTGAAATAATGGGTGATTTAAAACAAGTTGAGGAACTTAAGTCTAAATTGGAGGCAGCAAGAGAGTATAGGAAAAACAACCCCAATGTTGAAAACTTAGAAGATAATAGAGTTTTATTAATGTCTACGACCAGTACTGGAAGTAGCAGACCTTTGACGAACAATCCTCTTGATAGTAAAGGCAAGGGTAATAAACGAAAGGCCCAAACACATGATTCCGAAGGACGACTGAAATACTTCGGAGACGATGATAAATATAACTTAAAACAAATGGTAAGTGTTTTGATCTATTATAAAGATTTATTTTCACTCAACTCAGTGAAAACTCTCTAACAAGGCTTTAATGATAAATTCTGTATTGCAACTGATTTAGATTTCTAATTCAACAATTGATGACTATTTTAAATTGAAAAAGTATATTAAGCTAGGCTAAAAACATTTCTAAAGTAAATTGGTTGTGACTTAATTTTTATATCACCTTTTTCATGTTTCAGTTTGAACAAGAAAAGTATGGTAATAATTACAATGAAGATGCTGAGTTAGTGAGAGCTGCTAACAAAAGTAAGAATCCAAATGATGATTTAGCTGACATTTTCTTAGATAATATCACAAAGAACAAAAACACATCAAGAAATAGTGAAATAGAAAAGCAACAAGCTATAAATCAGAATGTTAAGCTTGAAAGATCTTTGGAAGGATGTGAATATTGTTTCGATTCCAAAAATATGTTGAAGCATCTAATAGTCAGTTGCGGAAACAAGATATATATGGCATTACCATCGAGGAAATCACTTGTCAAGGGTCATTGTATTCTAAGTACAATACAACATTCAACTTGTGTGACCAATGTTGACGAAGATGTATGGGAGGAAATATTAGTAAGTTATTTATTTCTACTCTGTAACAACAAATTTCATATTTATTGGAGTTGGTAATGCTAAGTGCAGTTTCCTAATAATAAAGAGTTATGTTTTATAATCCGAGTGGAATAAACAAATTTAGAAGTTTAGTAAAAAAAAGTATTTAAAATTTATGAAGGAATATTTTAACAATAAATCTTTATTTATTGCCTAACTTAAAGTGTGGATTGAAAAACCTTTTTTTTTTTTTTTTCGGGGAGAAATCCGCTTACAGACTACCCACTGCCCTGGCTCGACAGTGGGACTTGTGTGGGGGTCGCCCAGAGCCTGATGTTGTTGGCCCTGGGAATACCCACTAAAACTCCCCGGCTTCCCTTTCTGCCCGTATTTGAAAAACCTAATCCAGTATACTTGTTATTTCAGTATTACAGAAAAATGATTACCCAATACTATAATTCTCAAGATCAGGATGTAGTATTCTATGAAACTGCAACAAGATTACACAGATTTCCACATTTAGTAATTAATTGTGTGCCGATGCCAAGAGATGTTGGTGACACAGCATCCATATATTTCAAAAAAGCACTTTTAGAGTGTGAAGCGGAATGGTCTATGAATAAAAAGGTTGTGGAACTAAAGGGAAAAAACATAAGACGAGGAGTTCCTAAAGGTTTGCCTTATTTTTGGGTTGACTTTGGTATGGATCCAGGTTTTGCCCATGTCATAGAAGACCAACAATTATTTCCCAAATCCTTTGCAGAGGTAATATATCTATATACATATAGTTACATTTCTATATATTGTTATTTTTTAAAATAACATATTATATTTGTTTTAGGAAATTATTGGTGGCATGTTAGATTTGGATCACAGCCTTTGGAAGAATCCCAAAAAGGAATATGGAGATATTCAAAGAAAAAAGGTTATAGAATTTGTAAACGAATGGAAACCTTTTGAACAAAGTTTTAAAGATAATAGTTAAGAATATATTTCAAATCATCTTAAAAAATTATTAATTTAAGAACAACATTCATTATATTAATGTAACATAATAATTAAAATAACAATTTTTATATTTAAAGAGTTTTTTATTTATTTACTTCATCTTCTTTCAACATTTCCTCTATTAATCTCTGTCTTTCCGCAGCTTGCCTCATCTTAGTCAACACAAGAGATTCATAATCCCTGTCAGTAACGAGGGTATTTGTATATTGTAAATCTTTCTTGGTTTTTAATATCGGCTTTTTGTGTAGCCATTTCAATGTGAGAGGATTATCTTGAAGACCTAAAAAAATATGACCAATTAAACTTTTATAAAAACATTTAACAGAATAGTATACTAGTATTTTAAAAGCTAGTAACTGATATTCAAGAACTTTTTAATATATTTCTTGTTAATAAGAACAGTAAGAGAATTAATAAGAAAATCTTTAATAATTATTCAAGTAGAGATCAGGCTAGGAAAAAATAATACAACAATAAATACAATAGGAAAAAATAACGCCGAGGAGTTTAGTGGGTGGAAATCCCACACGCCCCCACCGTGTTTTCCCCCGCGGCGGGAAGTTTTTGAAAGATTCTCCTCTTAAAAAAAAAAAGGAAAAAATAATACACAACCTTTTTCAAACTCTACTGCCATTTCCGATGCTTCCTTTGTTCCAAATTCAACTAGCGCACTGCCCTTTTTAGCTGGTGACATAATCAATGCTGTGATCGTTCCATATTTCTTTAGGAATGTCCTTAAATTAGTTTCATTGTAACCACCGTTATCGGGATCACTTTTCTCAGCTTTCCAACTAATTTTTATTCTATTTAAACTTGAATCCCACACCGGTTCACTCAGATTTTTCATACTTTTATGTATCTCTTCTTTCATCCTCTGTTGTTCTTCTTGTAAAAGTCGACTTCCTTCCCTCTGTAATCTTTTAATTTCCTCAGCAAGCTTTTGCTCATCTGTCAAATTATCTTTTGACCCTGCAGCGGCTTCACGCTCCCTCCTTTCCAAATCTTCTTTAAGTTTCCGCCTTTTACTGTCTAATTCTTGGTGCCTTAATTTTGCGGCTGCTTTAGCTTTTAATACTTTGTCGTAGGCAGCGCGTGCTGCTTTGTCTGTCAATATTTCTAGAGCATGTGATAGTTCGTGAAAAGTTTCCGCAGCTTTAGGATTGTCAGGGTTTTTATCTGGATGACACTGAAGTGCTTTCTTACGGTATGCCTTTTTGATCTGTTGAATAAATAAGTTAAATATACTCTTAAAGTTATAATATATGTTTTGGCAGATGTAAACAATTTATACAAACAAATTTTTATAAAGAATATAATGAAACACATACCTCTGAATCAGTAGCTGTAATTTGGATGTCGAGAATAGCGTACAAATCGACATCTTCGATTTTGGACTTGGCCATTTTAGAATTTCAGTTTATTACAGTTATATTTTAAGTAGTTCAGCTCTGTTTTCTAATTATGGGATCTTTTAAGAACACAACAAAAAACAATCAGTAGGTAGGTCGATATCGAGAATTATGACAACAACGTCATGTCAAATGTCAAGACTGAACTGTATTTTTAAGGAACACATTTTGCTTTAGATTCGAGTACCATAGAGCATGTCCAATTCTTTTTATAACCTAAGAGCAATCATGAGGTAAAATTTAAATTTGAATTATTCGATATAGAATTCTGATTTCAATTTTAAATTGCCATAGAGAACTAAATCAAACAAAAGGCAATTAAATCATGTCTTGAAAAATTTCAGTAATTATTAAATTACATACATTACGCAGTTATTGAAGTAGTGATTACAAAATTGGTAATATTGTCACTTATAAAGTTGTAATAAATTATAAATCTTTAGTTTCTAAAGGTTTATTTAGTTTAAAAAATCACATATATTTAACATAAGTTCATGTCTTTAAGATTCTTAAATTTCTAAGATAATGAATTAGAATAGTCTTGAAGGTTTCTTTCCAGTGTTTTAAAAAATACAGTACAATCATACCGATTTAAATTAAAAGTATGTGAATTGTTAGTCGACAACATCATAGATATCTAGACAGTAAGTATGAAGTATGTACCTACATATCATTTTGACGTTTGATATGAGTGGTGTTGTGTATAGCCCTTAATATAATCTTTTATAAAATAAAGGTTATCGTATAATTTGTTAAAATGTTGCCCAGATGTTTACGTAAGTTTCAATACATATTAGGTATAATGAATAATACCAATGCCTGTATGAAAAAAACGAATTTTAAGTTAACTGTTTTTATTTCAGAACGTCATGTGAGAAATGGTTTTACACTAAGCCGATATTATTCTAATGCACCGCAGCCAGAGCCAGCACAGGTTACAGTTGGTAAGTTAATCGCCAATGGATATTTAAAAAACTTTTGTGAATTCTCGATTTATGTATAAAGTTTAAAATCACTAACCTTTATGTACTTTTCAGATGAATCTGTCAAAACTAGTCCATTAGACCATCCAGATTTTTTTCAAGTCCACAACCTATTTACAGTCAAAGATTTATTTGATGCTGGTGTACATTATGGACACAAAGAGGGGTCACTGAATGAATTTATGTTACCCTACATTTATGGATCCAGACAGGGCCATTTAATTTTTGATTTAGATATAACAGCAGAGCATTTACGAAAGGCCCTTAATTTTGCTGCCCACATTGCGTATAGAGGCGGTATTATATGTTTTTTCAATAGGAATGCATTAAATGCACATTTAGTTGAAAAAACTGCACAAGAATGTGGGGAATATGCGCACACTAGGTTTTGGAGGGGTGGGATTTTTACAAATGCCAACCATCAATTTGGGGCTGTCACTAGATTGCCAGATTTGTGCATTTTCATGAATACACAAAACAATATATTGAATCAACACACAGCTGTACGAGACAGTGCTAAAATGTTAATACCAACTATTGGCATTGTCGACTCAAACTGCAGTCCTAACTTAATAACATATCCTGTACCAGGCAATGATGATACACCGCGGGCTATAGAAATGTACTGCAAGCTATTTAAAGCAGCGATTAAAAGAGGAAAAGATGCAAGGATGAAGTTTCTACAAGAAAACAACTAGCTAATTAAGTTTTTTAAAAACATTTATATACTTTAATATAACAATTAGTTTGAGTACCTGTTTTGTAAACATAAACAATAGAATATACTTAATCAAGATTACATCTTTTTTATTCCCTATTCATACTATCATTGAAATATACAGATATAACAGGAATATAAAAATTCTTTATTATAAGTAAAAAAATGAAGTTTAAATGCTTTTTCTATAACTAAGCCTATAAATGTTTTTCAAACTATCTATCCCAATAGAACTTTTCTCATCATGTGTGAAGGTGTGATGTTGTCCACTTCACGACTTTCCCAACTGCCGGTTATGCATCTTGAACTGCAAAGATATTGCAGCAGTGGTATGCGATATCTTCCACAAAAATCAACAAACTTTATATGTTCTACTCTGTTGTTGAAGAATACACCTGGAATACAAACAAATTGTTCTAAATACTAGAAATAATAGAGGCAACATTATAGGAAATAAAGTGACATTTTTGTTAATTATATTGAAATAATTATACCAAAAAGTAATGAATTTAAATTGTAGAATAGTGAGAGATTGAAGTGTTTTGTACAAAGATGATCATCTGAAAATATTTTATATTTTTTCTCGATTGTCTATAGCCAATAAGATGTCTTTTAATAAATTTTTCTCACTATTTTTTTTTTATTACTTTTCCAAGTTGTGGTGTACAAAATAGAGAATATATATAAAGCGTAACTAGTAAAGTGACCTTTGCATTTTGGATTAACACAACACTGGGCTGATGTTAAATATTTGATAAGCGTAGCCGGTACATCGCCAGGCTTGATTGGTATCTGATGCAGCTTGATAGTTCGACCAGCCAGTTCAAGTAAAGATGGTGGCTGCAATGTCATGTCTCGAACGAATCTCACGACGAGAGGGTTATCACGTAGGCTCAGCTGAAAATAAAATACAAATGAATGTATAATTAACTTACGTTACTACTTTCTCTTTCTTTATATGAATAAAGCTGTTGATCTACAATTTTGACAGCGTCAGTGAATACTTTGATGGAGTAGGTACTAGGTACATATTACTAATTAATTAATTGTTGTGAATATTCCTTGTAAATTAATATTTAAACCTAAACTGAACTATATTATAAAACTTTATTAGGAACTCCAATAAATTTAATTGGGAATTATAATTTTTTTCATTGCTAAATCTAAAGCACTATATTAAAAAAAGATCAAAGTAATATCGTCAACATTTGATCATAGAATAGACTATGAGTAACGAAATTAAAGGGTTTGTATGTTGTAAATTGAAAGCTTCCTGATTTCGGTCTAAGACCTAACAATAATTGTGTTCGCTCGCCGCAAAGGCTATAAATAGATCATAAATGGCTCCCACATACATACATGTCAGTAGGTAGACTAAGCATGAGTAGGTATGCATTATACGCTTAATTAGTAACTGTTTGTATAAATTTTTTCTAGGATTAAAAATTAGAAAACATGAAATACGTTCCGTTTAGATTCATAATATAAATTCCTACTGGCTACTAAGAGTACTGTAGTTTTATGGAATAAAATTAATTTATAAATTATACTACCCGGTATAAAAATAATAATTTTTATTTAAAAATACTTTAGTCTACTTTTTTGTGAATTTAATTGAAAACAGCGGTAATTGTAAAATATGGATAGTGCCTACTGATATAATATGTATTACCTACTCAATCTGTTCGTAAAAACATTAATGTATAAAGACATTACAAGATACTTATTAGTATTCTATAAGTATCTTTTTCATTTTACTTAATTATTGGCAACCTAACTGAAACGCCCTTGACCTTTGCACGTGATTTTATTTCTTTAGATGCAAGACTATTGTGAAATACGGACTAAGTAACCTTTAATAAAGACAAAGAGGCCTTGGTGATGTTTCTTATTTGGCATTTAAACCAAACTTTATCTATAGCTACCAAATATAGATTTCCATGATGATATCTAGTTTTATTTTCTTCAAGTTTTATTTAAATAAAGATTTCGTTTTTTTTTTGTCAAGTCGAGAAAGTTTTTACTACGATTATAAATAAATGCTAGGTACTAATTTATAATGTACTAAGATATACTGAAAACACGGTTGTTTTGCTCCTTTTCGTCTTCATCAGAATTTAAAATATAACTATACGGGACAGAAAAGAATGAATATGGAACTGTGATTTTAGTATTTGAACTTAAAGAATTAATCTGAAAAGTCTTAATGCACTGATATTTTTGGATGAAGAATTCGTCTAAAACTTACCTCAGTCAGGCATCTCAATTTTATTATCTGAGTTGGTAATGTTTTAAGTCTGTTTTTATCAATCTTCAGTGATCTGAGTTGCTTCAAATTGGCTATGCTTGATGGGAGTTGTTCTATTTGATTGTCACTTAGAACCAAAGCTTGAAGTGATGTTAACGCTCCGACAGATTCAGGGACCTCTGTGATTTGATTACCCCCTATAGATAATATCTGCAAACTAAATTCGAAAAATATATATAGATGTTAAAAAATTTAAAATTAATAGTAATACTAATATGATCAACGAGTTTGTTGTGTTGTTAAGAACATAATTTAAACAAATGGCTTTACGGTGTTACAAGTTTAATTGATGTCTATGTATTTTTCGGTTTCATTGTAACTCTCAAAGGGATCGATTGCTTTCAATGCGGTTTGACTCCTGTAAGAAAACCAGTTTTCTTACAGGAGTCGAGTTCTTAGCTATCTTTGATAAATATTAATTCAGCAGTGTTAAAGTATCAGATTATTTAAAACTTTTGAATTATGATGATCTTTTAAGTGCTTCACGTGTATGTGTAACTTTTGAATAAAAGTTTTTTTTTATATATAAATAAGCATAGTTTAACTATTAGATTTAATAGGTCGGCCATTTTCTAATATGTAATACGTCATATCTTAAATAACTAATAATATTTAGACTAGTTAGCATCTTAATTGACTGTATTTTATTTATAGTTGTCTTAAGTATAGGTAATGACAATAAGTTATATAATGTATCGTATTTATTTAAATGTAGTTACACATTTATAGTTGTTTTAAAAAATTGTTTAATACTTTGTTAACTCTCGACTACTTTATATTAATCTCACACCAGGTTATATTGTGATATGTACTTAATAGTTATAAAGTTTTGATACTCAATAAATGTGATAATGTTTGTTCCTTATATTCAAAAATTATTTTCGGCTACGTTATCCGCCTTTTTCACTCTTATATACTTTTAAAGTTTATATTGAAATCCTTTGTTTGGGTTCAAAGTCGTTATACCTATGTATTTTTTTAGTAGTATTTTTTAAATTTTAATTGCCTTAGACCTATTATGATTCTGTACTAGGTATAATCTGAAAGTTAAACGAAAAAAACACAAATCATTAGATTATTTAATGAAATGTTGGTCGAGTGAGAGTTTGTTGTCCCAAAGGATTCATTACGCATAAAAGAATTTTACAAAAAGCTGTGTGTTCTTTATGTTTTTATATGATTTTTGAAGTTTGCCATGTAAAAAAATACTAAAATTTATTGCAATAACAAATTTGATGCTTATATGTATTAGGAAAAGTACCTACCTACTTTGTGCCTCCAATAATATATCTCGGTCTCTTCGTGGGATTTAACAAAATTTATATAATATAAAAACAATAGTGAAGTAGGTATGTACTGTGAAGGCGCTACGGCTAGTATTATGAAAACAATTTCGTCTAACAATAAGAAGAAATAGAAATATTATAATGTTAACAACGCCGTGGTGTTTAATTTACCATTGCATAGTTTTTTCTAGATGTAGGTATATATACTTATATGTTTATATTTAAATGGATTTAAAAACTCAAGCTTTCATCGTACATTTATGCAATTATTAAATTTTTAGCAGACATTTGACCCTATTATGAAATCTAATTCAAAAACTAGATAGAATTAAAACTGAGATTTAAATTCGTCCTTTGTATAGTGATAACTAATATATGAGCAATAATCGCCATGACTTGTCAAAATCAATATTAGTGATTGCAACACAATTGATTTATGTACATTTAATGTGTAAAAATTAGCTTGTAAATTATATGTAAACAGCTATGGGTATTTACGACTATTGACATCAATATTTTATAAATACAAGAATACAAAAGATGTTTACACTAACGCTTATGTTTAAGATGATAATGTAATTTCCTTGGTCGTAGACATTTGTAATAAGATAATAATTATAAAGAGCGCATTTAAGACACTATTATACGTAGGTATATAAGATAATATACCGTTATATTTATATATATAAATAGAATTTATAGAGCATTGTTTGTTTTTGATCGATTACTGCTAGTTGGTACAAGAATATATTTTTTATTATATAGGTATCTTCTATCTATATAATGTATCATGTAGAAATGACGATATAGATATCTTATCTCAATCGATTTAATATACAAACCTGTTCAACTTCCATATATCCTTTGGAATGTTTATAATCACATTACCTCCCAAATAAAGATATTTTAGTGTGGTTAATTGCAGTAATTGTTCCGGGAAGAAATTGATTCTGTTGCCGCTTAAATTAAGTTCTCTGAGCGTATTTCTTGTCTTTAAAAAACTCTTTGGTAGGGATTCATTAGTGAGATGGTTGTGTTTAGCTATTAGAGATGATAGTGGACAGATGTCGAGAATATCTGGGAGCGAGGTCAGCCTGTTATTGCTTACATCGAGTATTTTCAAGTTACAAAATTGATTTATTGATTCCGGCAATGATTTTATGCGATTTCCATATAATAAAAAAATCTCGTAATTTTCCGCACAATCCTTTTCGTCGATTATGCTCTCCAGTTCCGATGTTATTGTGACACTATCCAACGACCTATTAGATAGGTCGAGTGTTTTTTGTTCTCTGCTGTCACTGTCGCAACTATCTGATGTGTAGCACTCCATTATAGATTGACACTCGCCACTATGAATATTTTTTAAAGGTATTTACATTATTGAAAGGTATTTCAAGCTACACTTGCGAGCTACTCGCCCCGCTCGCGGCGCACGCGCAACTGATGTGCCTGACTGACTAGTATATCAAGCGGCTTGACCAAGCCTATGTTTTTTTGTTGCCTCTATTTCCATTAATACAAGACGAGGGCACGCGCAACTGATAAGATATTTTGGATGAAATGAACTGCGTAGTTAGCTAAGTTTCTTAAGCGTTCTATATATCAGGGTATTTAAAAAGTTTTCAAAATAAAAAGTAAAGATCAACTTTTATTCTTTATTTGCTATGGCTACAACAGCTTCACATATTTAATGTGCAGTAAAATTTTATTATCTTTTTATCTTTGTTACCAGTCACAATCATATTTCAAGTTCTTTCTTAATATTCATTATCTATTTCATTAATAGATGGCGTTTAAATCAAAGTTGAGGATTATTTTTATTACGAATAAGTTTTATTGTAAGCATCTCAAAGATGGAACAACATTTTTGTGGTGGGGCTATTAATATTAAATATTGCCCAATATTTAAAAATATATCTTTTTTAGTAACTTATTAATATAACTTTAGATGATTTTACGAATAACGTTTTAATAATAAGGTAATTTAAGTTTTTCTTTTTGACTATTGTCTATTCTATGCTGCGTCAAACGGAACGTTTTGTACTACGTCACTGATCGAAGGTCCGAACATGATCCGAGCGAAAGCCGAAATTGGCCGAACGAGGAAGCGAGCATAAAGTCTGTGAAGTCCAAAGAAACTAAAAATTTGTCGGTCACATTATTGATGTAAATTTTAAAAATCTAGCAAAATGATCTTATAAAATCATTTTAAGATAATCTTATTCTCATTTTAACTCTATTGTAGTGATTTAGTTTTGACTATTTGAATTCCTAACTTTGTATTTCCTCGGCAAAGTGAGAGAGTTCAGTGCGAGTGCAAGCAAGGGTGGTAACGAGAAATGTGAAGTAGTATCTATGAAGTTCAGGAATCGGCCGTTTATTTTATACCTATAATAATGAGCGGACGCCCTAGGACCACGTCATTCGCCGAGGGCAGCAAATCCGTTCGTAAGACATTTGAAAATCAACCACCGAAACCACCTCTAGGAGGCGTAAAAATTAGCAGTGAGTACCACCTAACCATTCTTTGTCGGCCATCGTGATTTCTTACACTGTGACGTTTCCCTATACTGACACTTTGGTATTACTCGAAAAATTAAAATCTACACATATTCCATGTAACCTAGGCAAGTTTGACGAAATCGATATCGATTTCGAAATACTGATACTGTTTAATTGTGAAAAAAATGGCTTCAATCTTTGAAATGGGTTTGCCACATAAGCCTTGGCCGATGTATGACAGCTATATCATGTCAAAAAACAATAATTGGGCATTTAATATTCCTATTACCTCAGAAGCTCGTCATACTTATTAAAGCAGTGATCCGTATCAGCATTTACCTCATAATATACTGAAACAAATTCATTAGAAAAAATATATATATGTATATATTTGAGGTTATTTTTCAATGACGTAATTAATGATAGGCCCTATAGCTGGTAATAATTATTACATTATTCAAATTGACAGTTCTTTTAACAATAGATGCTATACACGTATAGGCATTACCCCAATTAGCAACAGAAATATTTTTAGTTTATTGGTAGTTGTGCTTGTGAATTAGTTTTAAAATATCTTTGTACTACTAGGCTTTATTCTAGAATTATTTTCAAATAAGTTTTATCACTTGGTCATGCTATTATAAACTTTTTATAAACCACATACATGGCTTAATTTCCATATGTTATGATTATGCTATGAATTATAGTTTTAGAAGTACTTCCTAAATTTATTTGTTACATTATCATAATGTATTTGCTTAATGTGGGAAATTTCTTACAGATTTTGAATGTCTTTGTTAAAAAGGTTATAGTTTTATGCATATTATGTTTAAATTCTTATAAAATTACCATATAAAAAAAAAAAACATTAAAACTGAAAATAAACTTGAGTTGAATGCCTACATTCTATTCTTAAGAGTCTTAAAAGTCACATTCTTATTGTACTGCTGATGCAAAATCATCTCTTGCTCATTGATATGATTTAAATTTAATATTTTCATAGATTTTCTTCCCATTGATAAATTATCTCAAAGGTAATGAATCTATGTTATACATATTCGATCAAATTATAATAAAGAATTTATAAGGTTAAAATAAATTGGTTAGGTGAAGTCATTTATGACTAATAAATAATAATATATTGACCCTTTGATATAGTCTACACAATGAAGTCATTTTATTAACAATGTTAAAGGGAAAATTACTTAAGTCACATATTAAGAATTATGAAAATATTTAAAATTTTGAACATGTGTATAAATGTTAATAATAACAATTGAAGTTTAAAGTATCAATTTTATTCAGTGTTTTGATTTCTTAATATGTTGGTACTGTCCAAATATTTTCTTTAAGGTTTTTGGTATAATGTAATTAGTTACATTTATATACTAGAGTTTATTTTAATATATGTTATATATGATAAAAATAAATAGTGAACTGACACTTTTTGTTCATGGTATAGTATGTTTCATATATAATTTCAATTACATAGTAATTGATGAAATTGTTGTGTAAAATATGTTTCTAGAAACAAAATGAGTGATGAACAAAAGCAACAAAGATAGAAAAGTAATATACATAAAAAAAACTAATTAAGAAAAAGGAAAGTAAACCTGGTTTTTTGTTAGTTTTATGTAACAGTTAAGAATTAAAAGAGTTAATTTAAACAAAGGTTCTTTACTAAACAAATATCTTTCTTTATAATTTGAGTAAAAATTAAATTTCATACACTTACATTTAGCCGTAATTAAACTTCATAGATTTTTCTCGATCAATTGTTTTCTGTACCTTCATAATTCCAAATACATTTATGTATCATTAAATAACTAAAAAGAATACACATTATAAAGTTTCAATAAAAAAATCTCTTTAATTTCGCACAATTTACATTCCGTGAAATAGAAAGGTGGAATTTGTCCAAATTATATAAGATTTTTATCATACGAATTTGAAAATATCTTAATTAACATTAGAAAACGTAAATTTATTATCTGAATATATAACATTTATGCCAGTAATTTTAAGTCATAATAAACATATTATTATGACTTCTAAGTTTTAAAAGTAAAATTATTATTCTAGTTTTCCATAACTTTTCTTTCATGTTATTGCAATAATATCCCTAATATTATTACAATTAAGTGAGATTACAAAATTTACAACATTTTGTAGTTCTTAAGTATCAAATTCACTTTCTTTAGTCACCGTCACAATGTTTTGCTATTTAATGATATATTTTTCAACTGTTCAGAAATGTGCATATAATTTCAACATATCAACTTTCTAATTACAAAATAATTATGTATACGTAATCGAAACTCCACTCATTCACTTGCATTATGATGTCTTGGTATATTTGTCGTTATGTTCCTTATATGTTTTAGTCGTACGGAAATTTTATCGTTAATATTGTTGTAAAGGTTTTTAATTGTAAATTACGAAAAAAAAAGAAACGAACTTTTTCTTTGAATCATTAAACAGCTCCCGCTGTAGGGCGCCGTGTTTGAATTTTTGATAAAGATACAATTCAACTTAACTTCCATGAATCGTTGCTTAATAATGAGGTCGCTATTACAGTTTTGTTGGATCATTAATATAAATGCATTCTAAATGTCCGCTTATACTTGTGTATTGAAATCATTTAACGTGCTTAAAACTGCCTAATCCGTGGTCATAGATTCTGGTAGGCCAAGGGTAGCGACATCTATTGTTCCTATAAGCATTAGGTGAAACAGCTCGTTCACATTATTGATTGCGTTATCAGCGAGTGTCGGGGATCTCGCTATCTTGCGGTCGAGGCAAGAGCACGCCATCGTCCATCCTGCCATTCGCGTCACAATCGTGCCAACGTACTCTCGAGTTTTGACTTTCGCCAAGCATCCGATCTTTACGTCATAGACGTGGTCGTCGGTCGGCTCTAGATGCAATCAGTTCCAAAAACCAGTCGAGACGGTTGTGAAAAATTATGAAATTGAAATTATGGTTCCATATCAACTCACACGAGTAACGTATTCATTGCTCCAAATCAAGTATTATCATAGTTTCATCAGAATTTTTGGTGGTTTTGTGTCGTGATTGATCATGTTAAGATAATAACTCTGTTGGTGTTTTTATTTTAAGTGAATGTGCTTTGTAATTTATAATGCTTCGGCGTCGTGGTACTTACACAGTGAACAGTGATTCCGTCGTGAACCGCGGACAAACTAAAACGTCGGAGCTAGCGGCGATCATAACGAATAAAATCGGTAAACACAAAATATATTCCTATAACAATAATAATAAAATATATATAAAATTTAAACGAGTTGGAATCAACCATTCCAATATGAGATCGCTTGAAGATAAAAACATCGTCATATTCGTTTATGACTGTTATTCGAAATTATACGTTATGTACTTTGACATGAGATAAGATCAGATATATAGTGAATAGGGAGTGAGATAAAGGCCTTATATTAAATATATAGTCGGGTATATAGTCCAGCACGCATTCAAACAAAACGGTTGACATAATTAAGCGCCCTCCTGTTGTAACGTTAGGTTTATAAATAGAAACTCCTAACTGCGCATTATATTATAATGTTAACCCATTTTGATACAACGCAAACCTCGTTTTTTTTTAATACTGTTAAATTATTTTGTATTAAAATGTATTTAAGTATCGCTCGTATCAAAGTCTTCATATAGAAAGTGACAAGTTCAAGAACTAATCGATTCTAAAGAGTCTCGATGATGCTAAGAGAGGTTAAGGCACTGACGAGAGCTCAACTTCATCTTAAATATTGTTTTTGTACGGGCCATTTTAGTTTCCTGACACTTTGTCATTTTAATATCAAATTAGTATAACGACACGATTTCTCATTTAATAAACAGTATCCAAATATTTGGACACTTGCCTGAATGTTTTTTTAAGCATACATTACGAATTTTAACGCTAAAATATTTTTAGTAAAATTTTCTTTAAAGGTTCTATCTACGTAAGCTGAAAGTAACAGCCTATTTTAAAATGCATCTTGCGTGAGAAACAAGTGGCCAAGCTCTTAAATTATTTCGTACCTTCCTGCTTATTTCCTTATATTTTGTCTTGGTCGCTCATTAACTTTTAATCGTCGGTTAACGTGACGTTAATTTTTCTATACAATTTCCTCTGATACAACCTCGCTTATTCATAAACATCTTTGAGAATTTATTTCAATATATAGCTTTGATTTTATTAACTGACCCTGAAGACTCCAGTAATACGAAGGTAGGTGAAAATGACACGATTTTCTTCACACGTAGAACCCTCACTATGAGACAAACAGTAATATACTTATTATTCCGTCTTTTTTTTTGTTAAATGACCTTGAAGCTAGAAAAATATTTCGTGTACCAAAATCTAATAGATGAGTCACTATTCTCATAATTTCTTTAAACATGATTTCATTTTGTATCTAAAGAAATGTTTATACATGTACTTGTCGTTTTTATCACATCATATGACTATAGGAATATATTATTATCGTGAATCGATCTTGATATCAAATATAACATAGATTTTTTTTTGTATATTTATACAATTTTTTGCGTTCCAATATTTCGAAACATTGTCTTGAGATTATAACGATATAAATATCCGGAATAAATGCCAAAAAATATGTTCATGTCATCTGTTGATGATGAATGTTTATTATTAAAACAATGAGAATGTACATTGCCAAGGAAGGATATACGTGTTTGGGTATTGAGAATTTTTTTTATGTGTCATTGCAACTAAATGTTTTGTATAAAAAATATTTTTATATCAGTAATTACTAAGAATAAATTAATCATACAAAATTTCGTAACAATTCTCTTTGTTTTTTCCATCACCGCTGTCAGTTCTAAACCTACGTTTGTAGAAGTTTGGCGCGTAGCAACGAATACATCTTATTCTGAAGTATGAATGCGTCAGAGGTAGCTGATCTTTATAACGCTGGTTTTGTGTCCACACTCCATACAATCGCCAGGTATTCATATACCATAGCCCAAAGCTCATTGAATGTTGGCTTACGTATAGAGTACTCCCATATTAAATAAAAAACTATATACTCTTTAATACAGAAGTAGTATTGTTTTTTATGTCACTCAGAATTAGTAAGAGCTAATATAGTTTAAGTTGACAAAGCACTTGTAACTGATTTGAGTAACGTTAAGGTTGCACTAATGAGATTATATTAAACAGGGGTAAGTTTTTTTCTATAAATAAATCACAGTCTTATGTAAATCGATACATAACTGAAAAGCGAGAGCGTATACAGCGTTTGACATTGGTGTCGTTCATGTCTTTTTACGTACTGAGAAACCAAGTAAGTATACCGAAAGTTTTAATCCAATTTACCCGACGTATGTAGCGTTGGAGATTTTTTTATATAATTCAACATGCTCGTTTATTTGTTTATTCATTTATTCACTCTAGTTACATTAAATTTTGGGCCGAAATACAAAATATTTAAACAATACCCATAATATTAAAGATACATTTTCAATGTTTCTTACTGTGGTTTTATCGTCCTTTGCTATTTTTCATAACAAAACATTTTTTTTTTATTTCCTAAACTAAATAAGTCATGCGTAATTAAAAAAAAATAATAGTATTTTTACGTAAAAATCCAAATAAACCTCAAAATATATTAACTAAATTTTATATATAATCAAATTTATCAGATCTCATACAAAGAAATCTTATCAATACTTTCAATGAAATAATCTCAATTCGTGTTCTCGTTATACGTAAATTGTTCGTAGAAATTATTTTGGCTCGAATCTCGCATTCTGATTTTTCATATTGGTTGTAAAGTTTAACTGATTTCTACATTTAATAGAGTTCAGGAAACCTTTATTATATGCCATACGTTAATCGTATGGACTTAATTTGATTTTTTCCTTGTATAATTATTGACATAAATAGATTTATAGTTGTATAAATAGGGCACTTAGACCAAAACACTTTCAGTTGTGATAGGTAAATAAGGTGAATTTAATTTATATAAATAAGATCACAAGGGTCTCTAGTTATTTTTAAATTACGACAAAAACGACTGAACTCAGCTGTAACAACTAATATTGTTATGATTATTTAGAAATTTTCTGTCCTTATTAGTATTTGAATTAATTGCAGAATCAATTAGAGTTATATTCCGATTGTTTATAGTTTTAACTCTTAGTTTTGTTTAATAGTTCAAGTAATTATTTTACATAAGGAAGAATAGTAAAAAAATAATCAATATTTAAAATGAATGTAATTTTGTATGAAAATTGCTACATTCATTTAAAACAGTTGGACAGTCGTAAATCGTCTTTTCCTTTCATAGTTTTATTTATTACAAAGTAATTGTTAGAGCGTAGACGTTAATTTTCATTGTTCAAATCTTATGCTCGTTTATTCAGTACTCTAACGAGGTACCGTAACAGTAAATCAGTATGACAAACCACTATTTACTTTAGAATAGTAATTCTTATTATAAAAGTTTAATATCGTAGGATTTTAGAAGCGCAATTCATAAACTGGATATCTTGATTTTTTTTATATTGGGGATAGCTTAAAGTCAGTGGTGGCCTAGTGGTTAAAAGGCCCGCCTCTCATGCACGAGAGCGCGGGTACGATCCTGGCCCTGGCAAATACCAATGTGATTTTTCCGAGAAATATGTACTGTCTAAGAGTATTTAGACATCACTGATTAATGCATTCCCAAAAGAGGGTTGATGTCAGGTAGGAGGCCGGTCGTAAAACAATAAGCCAAAACAATTTACTACATAAATGTAAGGCAGACCCTGGCTAAAGCTGGAAAATTGAGATGTAGAAGAAGATTGGGGATAAATGAAACTAATTAGATCTTAGAACTTAGATCTCATTAAGATTGGGGATACTTTAAATATTATACAGGGTGACTGGTGAATTACTATCAATATTTAAGGAGCATACTCGGTACATGATTCTCATTCGAATTATGTAAAAAAAATAGGTATTTAATTTTTGACCAAATTTCCGTATAAATAAATAAAGTGTGTACACGTTCCAAGTGTTCCAAGTGTGAACGCGTGCGGCGGCGTGCTGATACAACTACACGCCGCCGCGCGCGTATGTGTGTGTGTACCTAATACCTAATCTGTAGGGTGTTCATACGATGCGTAATTAATTACATAACTTTTGGTTAACTTAGAAGTTTATTAATATTTATGTTATATTAATTTTTATTTTGTCATATATGATCGTCAAATATCACGTCCTCAAATATCGATAGTAATTCACCAGTCACCCTGTATATAAAAAAAATGTATATTTAAGTAGGTATTTTAACGATATATTACTTATCAATTTTATTAGATAATTTAAATTGACGATGTACGTTTTCAGACATGTTTATTATTCGGTACTGTTCTTCTAATGAAGTCCTATTAAAAGTCATAAATGACGCAACATATCATTTAAACATTATAGAATAATTGTCGCTGTGTCGGCAACTCATCCATTGAACGAAACATTGAAATGACACATCTATCGCAATGCAAATAGTGTGAACGAAACGCATTTATATTTTATATGAAAAATATTTAATAACAAAAATAAAATATATATTAGATATACCCTTACCGTATAACCAACTATATTCATATTAAACGGTCGCCTTACAAAGGATGTATTTATAACATTCAGACTCGAACTGCACCGGTTTGTTGATCTCGTGTCGGTTTTGTGTACAAAGTTTTTAACGCCATTTATATTTTATTTTAAAATGACGTCATACCTGTAAATTGTTAGCGACATCATAAAGAGATGGACACGCTCACATGCTCCGTGGCATTGATCAATCATGGAAATCAATCGTGTTTTCAGTGACACAACTCAAATATATTTATACCAGCTGTAATGAAGTACGTTCTTAGCATTATCGTTATGAATTGATCTTAAATCTATATATATTGAATAAGTGATAGAAAGTACTATACATAATCGCATAATGGTCGTGACTCGCGAAGGTTGAATAGCTCATTGTCGTATGAGTGTAATGAGGTCTTACCGCCGACTGCTGGCTGGCGAGTCAAGCTAAACCGTGGGGTGGGGTGTTATAAGCTGTCAGTTTGTTGCGAAGCGCGGTCGCGTTCGTTACACCGTCAAGCTGGATCGTCCGTTGGGGCCGGTATGTTTAGAGAATATGAGAGTGACCGAAGCCCCAGCGGTGGTGCTGCGCCCCGTCGGCGAAGTCACCGCTCGCTCGGAGCCCTCGATACAACGATTGCTTGACAACGATAGGACCGGCCAATTGAGTCGAGCCCGCGATCGCCTATCAACATTTTGTAAGAAATTACGACGCACTATTAGTGAGTTTGTTTTCGTATGTTAGATATATTTAAATAGGCATATATTTCATCTCACAATACAGCCATGATCACACATGTATGTCCATATCAATATTCTAATGTTGCTTTTGTATTTTGCTGCGGTACACAGGCGACGTGGATACACCTAAAAAGAACGACCTGGCTACGGAAAAGAAACCCGTCTCCTCGCACCGTAAGTGCTAGATGTGGCGCACAAGTTAGCTCGGTTGTAGCATTAACATTTTCACATTTATCATGACTATCATTTTTTTTATTACACATATATGAGAGTAACAATCTTCTCGCTTATTATTAAATGGAGTTATAAATGCTGAGGATTGTTGCTGTATTTTTTTTCTTGTCGTAGTGTGTGTGTAATGTGTATGTGTCTGTGACGTAGTAGCTTCATTATCAAGATATATCGCAATTAGTACATCATTAGATTAATCATCCATGTAATTTATCTTTCGATTTCTTATAATTTCGTCTTTCATATAATACCAGTATAATTTGGTCTCGTTTTCTCGTTAATATTGTATAAATCTTTAATATCGTGTTAAATGGTTTAAATTAATTTGTTCTTTGAATATTTCGACTTTACGTAAATGATCACCGAAAAACTGGTACAATAACAATTTATATATAACCTTGTTTAAATTCTAAATATATATCGTTCTAATTAATAAGTCGATTTGTTGATGTATGCTCATAGAGTTATAATTGTTTTATTTTCTTCATACTAAACAGAATATTGGGCAAATCTTTATATAGAATTTTTATAATCAAATTTATAGAGAGGAATCTCATCGGTTACATAAGTATCGGTTAAACTAGCTTTAAATATAATTATATTAAAGTTCTCCTATACATATGATGTAACAATAGATTATTGTTCATTTTAATATAACAGAATATAGAAGTAATTAAAGATAATTGTTTCTCGTACCATTAAATCTTATTAGTGAGTTAGTATCCGTCAAAGTCAAACTGATTGCTAAAGGAAGGCTCAGCCACACCCCGTACATTTATTGACGTGAAACCAAACGTTCCTACCCTTGTTTATATAATTTACTTTGGCGTTATTTATAGCTGTGATGCTCTTAATCTTTATTCGTCAAAATACATACTCAGTTTTCATCAAATATTTTTCATATCTTTTTAATTTGTAAACAGTTAAATGTATATTATGGGTATGCTCTATAAAAAAATGCGATTGTTACGTAGATTTGTATTTTTATAAAAATATATTTTAAAGTATTGCTTTTACATCGTTTAGTTTGATGATTTTTTTAACACTCAAATTCTCATCTATATACGGAATATTATATTAAGATGTCAGAGTAGTTATTTGTATGAAAGATTTTTTTTATCCACAAACTTAATAAGTTACATACGTGAATTTTCTGAATAGTAGCCACAATTTCGTCGTAAAATAATTTGAATCTCGATTAAATTCATACTTAGAAATGATGTTGAAAATCGAATGTTCCTGAAAAAATCGGTGTATTAATGACATTAAAATTCTCTCATTTTTCTTTCACTATTAATTAAAAACCTTTTCAAAATTACGGAAAATGTCGTTCGAAATATTCGTATTAATTTCCTTTTATTCATTTGCAAGAGGATAAGTTTTGTCATTATTATAACTAAAAAATAATACACAATTAACTAAAAATACATTTAATTCTTATGGTATCGACTGTATTTAATTAAAATACTGTTTCATTATAAAAATATTGTTATATATTATATACGATTGATTAATACACGCTTTTCTTATCTCATCCTAATGTACGTAAATGTAAACGTGATATTTGTACATTTTAACCAATACGGAATTGAATATTTCAAATAGTGTTACTATAATAAAAATTATCTTTAACTTGATACGGTTTTAAACGTTTTTTTGCTCCAATATTTTTAAGGGAACTTAATTATTAAAAATCGTCGGTGAGATAATAATTTCATTCTAAACAAATAAAATATACAAAATAATTTTATTACATTTTTTTTTCTGATATTGCAATTAAAAATATTTTTTATAACGTAAACATTGACGACTAGTCATGTAATTCAAGTTGGTCTAATATTATATTTATTTATATACAACAAAAAAATTTTAGTTTTATATTAATTATATTGACATAATTTTTATAAATATTTAAAATATAATCAATGATCATGGATAAAAATATGTATCTACAGGACGATGAGACGAATATATTTAGCTTTGAAGGTAACTAAGAGTTATATATCTATTAACATGAGTTCCCATATATAGAGTTTTAAATACTTCCCAGTAATTCGATATCAACTTTGAGTTGGAACAAGAGTAATCGTCTGAAAATTTTATACAATTTCGTTCAGAAATATTATGTTATATTAAATATACTGTATATGTATGATAGAAATAAAAATTGGTATTTTTCTCAAATGTATTAAAATATATATGAAACATTTTGACGAACAGACCAGTTACTTGAATTTACGCATAATTTTAGATGTGATAGTTATTACGGCTTCCTTACATTAGTATAATCTGATTAGTAGGTTTAGTTAAATACACATGGTTTCTACTAGCACTGTGTACATAATATGTTACATTTCAAGTTTTTTTCCTTATATACATATTTAAATGGACGATTTTTTAAACAATGGCGAATGTAAAAAAACAAGTATTTAAGAAACCTCGTTTTCAAATGAAATTAGTCGTATCTAAATCGGTCGGTTCGTTTGAGAGATACGATGCAACACACAAACACACAGACATAGACGTTAATCTTATAAAAAATATGTTTAATACAAGTTTACGTAATATATTGTATATTAAAGTTAAATATATTGTGTGCATATAATCTACTGTATTAACATCATAATTTGACATTCGTATGGCGAATTTCATTCACTTTATCATATTTAGAACGATTATCTTAATAAGGAAATTATTTTGTATTGAAAAGATTACAATAAACTCTGTATTAATACAAAGAATTCTAAAGAATAATGTAGTTAGAAAAGAATTTAATACACACATATGTACCTCCATATAATTTCAGTAAATCAGAGCTAATGAATCTTTTCATATATGTTAATCTATAATAAACTATCATTTATTTACAGACGAGTTGAACTCGTAGATTTGCTTTTATATCTAAATGGACAATTATATGGTTGTATAACTCCTTAAATATTCCTACTTCAGACTGCCTCAAATCTGTATCCTAACTGATCTTCGTATATATCGTAGTTTCACAAATTTCAAATCTTAATAACTTCGTTATTTTGAATTTTTTTATTTAATGATTTTCTTGTCTGATTTGAATTTAAATAATATATACAACAAGTCCGATGAATGACTTCAATATTAGTTAATACGCTTAGTTCAGTGTTTTTATAAAAATGTACCATAACAAAAATAATATGTTACAATTAAATTATTCGTCCATGAAATACTTTTTCATTTTTTTTCACTTCACCACACTAAAATTATGAATTGATTGGTAGATTTCAAAAAATTGTGGTCACCCAAAAACAATCATGTTTTTAGTAATAATAATTCATACTTTTTTTTCTTTAATAGCTATTGAAATTATTCGCAAACTCTTATTATCATTAATTCATTTTCTATTGATGCATGTTGTGATTTATTGCAAGGAAATTCCATCAGGATTGATTTTATTTACATAATACATAGTAATAAATTTTTAAATAAATGTAAATAGGATTTATTGTCTTTGATTATTTTTTTAACATTTATCATATAAACTTCTTAATAGTCTCCTTTTTTTTATTCTTTCTATTACAAAACATCTTGTATATTTTACCTGAGTCAGGTTTTTCCGATTCACTATTACATGTTACGTGTGTCATGAGTTTTAATAGTTCATATGAATCTAGGATTTCTCATCTAAATAGTATTTTAATAACTGCTATAACTGTTATTAAAGTTACTACTAGTGTCATTAAAATTTGATATCTATCATTATAAAAGGCTTAACAAAGAAGGGTTAAAAATATACTTAATTATTCGGAATTGCCTCCTGGATTATCGCGTTTATTATATAGATTAATTGAATTAAGTTTGGATGAATATTTTTTATATGTATATTTCTAGGCAAGGACGGATCCAAAGTGACAACCGTGGTAGCGACGCCGGGGCAAGGCCCGGATAGACCCCAGGAAGTCAGCTATGCTGACATGAAGCTGATAGGTAATGGAAGCTTCGGCGTCGTGTACCAGGCCAAATTATGCGACACTGGCGAACTCATCGCCATCAAGAAAGTGCTTCAAGACAAGCGGTTTAAGGTTAGTGTACACATATTGATTATAATCCTGCTAATATTATAAATGCGAAAGTAACTCTGTCTGACTGTCTGTCTGTTTGTTACGCTTTCACGCCTAAACCACTGAACTGATTTTAATTAAATTTGGTACAAAGATATAGTTGACCTTGAGATAGAGCATAGGATAGTTTTTATCCAAGACTTTTGAAAGGTTCTCTTGGAAACGCGATATAACCGAACTCCACGCGGGCGAAGCTGCGGGTGGAAAGCTAGTTATAAATATAATACGGTTTATATAAGGATTTTTCTTAAGAATAAACTTTAATACCTTTATTTGTTTACTTTAATTATAAGCAATGTACAGTCAATCTGGGTAACTTTGACAGATAAGGGTGATATTTTATACTATATTTAAAAAAATTAAACCTATCACTCGGGTGTTTTTATTTTATTAGTGCTCTCGTATTACTTTCCGTCTCTAGACATCCACAGAAAGTTTATAAAACATACCAATATAGTATGAAATCTAAATTTTGTGTGTGTCAAAGTTACCCCCCTAAGATGGGTAACTTTGACACACACAGAGCCAAGCATAAAAATGTAGTAATAAGTATTATTTTTATCAATCTGGGTAACATTGGGGTATACATTTATTAACTAATGGATGCATGTGACACAATAAAACGAACATTTTGCAATTTTGTCTTATATTAAAAAAATTATGAAGAATCAGTCTACAACATTTGACAATGTTACACACATTGCTTAACATCATCAAAAACGCTTAAAAAACTCCTTTAATTTAGGATTTTTATTCAAATTATAAAGAAAACAAGCAAAAATAATTTTAACAAACAAAGATTTTGTAAAATCTTGAGCATAACTTGTCTATTCTCCCCACTCCATATAGAGCAAATCGTCAATAATACTTGTGTAGAGCCCAGGCTGCTTTATACTGATTTTACTGTTATCTTCTGGAGATACAACATCATCTTATCTAATTTTAATAATTTCTCTTTTATCTGGCCATTTCCAACCACCTTGTGTTGATCTACTCATTACAACAAGTGTATAATACGGGAATGTGTATCTTGTCACTTTTCCTGGAAACAGTGTGCCTTCTGTTTAAAATATAACTGTTGTTCCAAGTGAGAACTCAATATATTTTGATGTGCATGTTGCAAAACTCCATCTTTAACAACAAATTCTTCAATCACCTCTTCTACCACCTCTTCCGCCACCATTTTAGTTTCTATGTAAGGGTAACTTTGACACTGTCAAAGTTACCCAGTTAACTTTGACACTGTCAAAGTTACCCAGTTGCTGTTCGAAATACGTATTTTCATATTTATGCTTGAAATTTCAAAATAAGATTTAATTATATGCAATTTTTTCATGAAAATGCGGTAGTACACTCACAAATGGCTCTGTATAACAACTCACTTACCTTATCAACAACCAAAATCACAAAATATTCAAAAAGTTATTCACCCTAAAGTAAACTTAAATTCGCGCGATATATTCAGAAACGAAATTATGACGTTTTTTTACTTTCACAACTTACTTTTTTTTAAAGTGCATTTAGGAAGCTTATTTAAAATCGCAAATCTAAAATAAACATATATGAATAATGTTGGTTTCATGCGAAAAAATAATCGAAACTAGTTCATGGTCCCACTGTCAAAGTTACCCGATGAATCAAAGTTACCCAGATTGACTGTATTATGTGATGGTTAAATTAAATCACTATCAGTACTCGATCGAGTTTTAAATACATAGACAGATATTACCAATGAGTCATTATGTTATATTTTTGCGTGTTTTATTTAATGATATAATATATCACGATGTGTTTTATAATAATGTCTTCAATAGACAATATCCTTTTAATATAATTACAGAACAGGGAGCTGCAAATCATGAGACGGCTGGAACATTGTAATATTGTCAAATTGAAATACTTCTTTTACTCCAGCGGTGAAAAGGTAAATAGTTTATCCTATCGTAATGATAACACAATAACTATACTTATATGTTTTATTATTATTATTATTATTAAGTTAATATAATGTATGTGATACCGTGTACTAATAGTTAGTATGTTATTTGTGTTCTATCTGGGGGAAAGGTGGCTGTGCCCGTCGCGGTTAGCTCTCTACTAAACGCAATGCAGTCTCTAGAAGTCGCAGTATGTCCTATGAACAGAATATAAGATTATTAAGCTAGCGTGCTAACGCACATATAGGTCTTTAATGAAAACTAGGGCTAGGGTTGCCGATTTATGTTTTGTTGTATTTTTTTTTTTGTATATCTATTTACGAAATGTTTGAAATATCGATCGGCGACCTTGAAAGCCCTGCAGTGGTGTTTGCAACTTTGCGAGCGTTACAAATCACATCACCGGACATAGCTTTTGAAAGACTTGTTCCAGAATATTCCATTAATTATAACTATTCGTCTATATGGACGGTGAAAAATGCTTGTTTTTTTTTGTTTTGTTTTATTATTTTATCGTGTTTTCTATATTTACTTACATCTCATACTCGCACTTTGCTTAATCGATACATTACCATCCACTTTGATATTGAAATATTATGATGGTTTGATGCCACGTGATTTAGCACGTGATGGTCACGTGACCGGCCACGCGGTCTTGTTAATGTCGATATTTTGGCGCAATTCTTAGTACCTAGTTTAATTCGAAGCTATGACGTCATAATGTAGGTCCCCCTATATTTGGCTTATTTTTTATTATATTAGTAGAGGACAATGACACGATAACGTTCGAGGATTTAGTTAATTTAATCGGTGAACATTTATAAATAATTGTTTAAGATTGTTGTATGTAGGCTGAATTTTAACGAGGCTAAGATAATAATATGTCACACGTAATACACTAATACGATTGTTGATCGTCCGTCTTTATTAATATCTATTAAAAATACTTAATATTAAATAAAACTACTTAACGTCGTGGATTAATAATTTAAAAAAAGAATTTATTACATCTAGAAACTAGAAGAGAAATCATAAAAATATAAGTTGATCTAGATTCTAGAAGTTTCTATCTCTTACTGTTGTCGTTGACAACAATTATCTAGTTTGAACTATCATTTCAAATAAAATTCTAGATTAAACAATTTACATGCATTATAACATTTATATCTTGGCTATATTATTTTATTATGTTTCATTATCAGCTGTTTATTGATGTATATATGTAATAATATATTTTACCGTATGTTAAAATTTATATTAATAAAATTCATTCGAAATCATAAAAATATAAGTTGATCTAGATTCTAGAAGTTTCTATCTCTTACTGTTGTCGTCGACAACAATTATCTAGTTTGAACTATCATTTCAAATAAAATTCTAGATTAAACAATTTACATGCATTATAACATTTATATCTTGGCTATATTATTTTATTATGTTTCATTATCAGCTGTTTATTGATGTATATATGTAATAATATATTTTACCGTATGTTAAAATTTATATTAATAAAATTCATTCGAAATGTCTATCATTGTGAACTAACAGCTTGGTTTTGTTGACTAATATATTGTTTATATGGAATGTGAAATAATAATTGCTAATAATTCTTACTACCCGTTTTTAGTGAAAGTTTCACGATCGTCTGTCCAGTATGCTTAGCCCGAGTTTGCGTTCTTACATACGGAGCCCTCATAGGTTTTCAAACATAAATCTTGGTATAGTATTAATGTATTGTGCAGGAAACGGTAAACGTTAAGTATGCAGTGACGATGCAAACTTGTGCTACGGATACATTTTGTGGTATTAATATTTGATACTGGTTTAATTATAGTCAATGGTCGTATGTATCAAAATTAAGGAGAAGTTGAGATTTTGTATAAGAATTTAAATTTTATTAGAAAATAAAGACACGGTCATGGTTCGAACCTGCTAACTCCGGCATATGAAGTTCCAATTGCTTTTCCAATTGAACTATAGTGCCTGCCATACCTCGAGTCGATTTACCTTATTTCTCAAAATAAAAATATCACAGATTTGACAGATATTTTCTAGTTTCTAAAATTTGACTTTATATAACACCAAATATTTGTAACATTAGCAGTACATTAAAAGATGTTTTTTACTTATGTTTGCATCACGTTAATAAATTTAAAAGTCTACAAAGATTATATTTTATTCAAAATAATTCCAGTTCCCTAACCATGAATTTTTAATTTTTCATTACTGAATCTTGGCACACTGTGCCAACATAAATAAATGAGTAAACAACAAAACTTTCAGTATAGTTTTGAAGATGAAAACTCATGGTAAGGGACGGATTATAATTAATATTGATATTAACACACAAACGTCATTCAGTCGTATGTCGTGATTTCATATTTTGTCGTGTTTACAATTTCATTTATTACATACGAAAATAAAAAAAACCGAATATAACTGGTAATGTAATGTACAAGTTCGATTTAAACGTATTCTTGGGAAGTTTGAAATCAATTAGAATTTATTTGTGATAAAAAATGATAGGTCTAAAATGTTTGTGTACGAGTAAAATTTGTAGTAACGTAAATAGTATTGAAATTTAAAAAATATACGTGTTTATATTTAAGGTTCAAGGTGAGGCACTATCGCTGTGAATTCTTTAAAGCTACGCCGTAAACCTTTGGCCGCGAGCCAATTTGCTATCTACTAACTACCTACGTATTAAAAAAAAACTGTCAACAATTCGACAAGATTTACTTGTATACAATCAATGAAATTAAACAATAACACTTCCTTATAAATAATTATGATTAATAATATAAATATAAGTGAAAAATGTATTAAAAGAGTCTAATTTAATATGTTTTTTTACTTTATACTTCAAAGAAATGAGCGGGAAAAGCAAATTATGTGATTTTTTTTATATTTTATACCACATGTAAAAGCTTGGATGCATTCATTTGCGTCTATTAAGATCATAAGCACGTGAGTGCTAATTCAAAACCGCAAATGTACTGATTTTTTTTATGTGTATTTTTTTGTGTATAATATATGTATATGGTAACTGTGATGCAAATTACGTAACGGATTCATTTTAATACTAAATAATTTTATTATCTATTGACATATAGACGAATTTTGTAAATAGTTCACATAGATAATAATGCATTTTCCATACATTTGTTATTATCGAATAATTTTAGACTCACACCAAAAATTAATACTATAATGTATGTACATACGAGTCCGAATGAGAAATAAAAAATATTTGATATTTTTTTATATCTAAAAATTGGTTTACATCCAAGTAAAAAAATTGAAAAAAAAAATATTTTTAATAAACAGTTTATAACATATATGATTTAAACCATAGCATAATTTCATTTATTTTCTATCATGTTGCTATACAAAACAAAACTCTTAATATTAAAACATGTTTAGGATTCTGTGCTATATCAAAGGTCATTGACATTTATCCTTAAAGTTTGTTTCGTTGCAGAAGGACGAAGTGTACCTGAATTTGGTGCTGGAATACATACCTGAGACAGTATACAAAGTCGCCCGTCACTACTCCAAAGATGAACAAACAATACCCATTAGTTTTATAAAGGTAATAAACACTCATGCACAAAAATAGAATAGTTAAAATAAACGCTCAACTCTTAATACATATGGATAAATACCGATATACATATGTATATGTATATCAAATTTTTGCCTGAAATTGGTTGAGCAATTTCAATTGAAAAATTAAACACTATATGTAGCAACAAAGGTAAAAAAAATTAGTAACAAAGAATTCAATATTACGATTATTAATAATAAATGCTGCCTTAATCCTGTAGTGTATTCTGTCTCTTTCCTTCCTTACTAATTCTGTTCTTCCCTCTCATTCCAGCTCTACATGTACCAGCTGTTCAGAAGCCTCGCATACATCCACTCGCTCGGCATCTGTCACCGGGACATCAAACCTCAGAACCTCCTGCTGGACCCCAAGTCAGGGGTGCTCAAGCTGTGCGATTTCGGTTCAGCGAAACACCTCGTCCGCGGCGAACCGAATGTTTCTTACATCTGCTCGCGGTATTACCGAGCCCCTGAGCTGATATTCGGGGCCATAGATTATACTACTAAAATCGGTGAGCTACAATATCACAGAGTATAGAGAATACAGATTTATATAGGTTATTTGAAATGGTCAAGTCAGTGGTGGCCTAGTGGTTAAAAATAGGCCTGCCTCTCATACATGAAGGCGCGGGTTCGATCCTGGCAAGTACCAATGTGATTTTTCCGAGTCATATGTACTTTCTAAGAGTATTTAGACACCACTGATTAATGCATTCCCAAAAAGGGTTGATGTCAGGCAGGCGGCCTGGCGTAAAAACACTAAGCCAAAAATTATTCACAACATGTAAGGCAGCCCCTGGCTAAAGCTGGGAAATTGCCAGGTAGAGGAGGATTTAAAATGGTCGCGTGGAAATATACATGTACAGATTAAGTTAAACCATCAATTAGAACAAAACATTAAGAAAACGCCTAAAACACAAAAGCAGTGTTTGTACATAACAGGGCAGTAATGAGTTTTTAATTAGTTGACTCTAATGATGTGCAATTAGACGTAGAACAATATGTTGTATAAGATTTTTTTGATGACCCTATAAGAGAGATCTTTTGTCTTTATAAAACTTGTGTTATAAATAATAAAATATTCATTAAATAAGCCTCAATGTTATACTTTATCGTTTACTTACATTATTTAATACATTGGAAGTATTATGTAAATTGATAATTATAATAAGTCACTATAACAACTTGTGAAGGGCAACAGATATATAACATTATATATTTATATATATTGTATGATATTTATATATAGATACACTTAAGCCCTGCAGTGTCTGATTTAGTCCCTACATTTTTATTTATGGCCATGTAATGTTTAAATTGTGTATTCCATTGATCCATATACCAGTTATTATTTATATCTATCTATTTATTTGTTATTTTATATGCTACTAGTTTTTGCCCGCGACTTCGTCCGCGTTAGTTTCGTCATTAGTAATATATGTATAGCTGACCAGGCGAACTCTATTCCGTCTTAGAGGCCATAAATAATCAGGTTTTTCCTGTTTCAATCAAACAGAATGATTGACATATTAGTTAGTTGTCAAATCTAATGTCAAAAAAAGCGTTTGTATGGGAAATAGAAAAGGGCTGTTTTTAGGGTTTTCCCGGCAATAATTCCAATTTTTCTCACCTTTTATACCTTCCCTGAACCTCCACGAACATTTCAAGACTAAGATAAGACAAATCCGTTCAGCTGTTCTCGAGTTTTAGCGAGACTAAGGAACAGCAATCACTTTTTATATATATAGAAGATTTATAATAAGCTATGAATATATACATATATGTAGAATATATAACAGACAAAATAGATTATGTGATGCAATTGAATGTTATAGAAATGTATAGTTTAATTTTATAATATTGTTTTTATAGATGTATGGAGCGCGGGTTGCGTTGTGGCTGAACTTCTCTTGGGTCAGCCAATCTTCCCTGGGGATTCTGGTGTTGATCAGCTCGTTGAAATCATCAAGGTAATACATACATCATATTATTATGGTTAAAGATCTTTATTCTCATAAGAACATACATAGGTTCACTTACATGAGATTAAATAATGTTACACATATACATTAATATTTGATACATGAAATCGCTAGTACTATTTAATAATGTCTAATATATATATTTTTAGTCTATTTTTAAAAGCATTTAAACATTTACATTCCTTTATGTGGTTTGGCAAATCATTATATAGTTTTACTCCATCAAAACGTATATTTTTGTGTCCATAATTTAAGGTTCTGACTTTAGGTAACTATGTAGTACAAATTACTTATTGATATACTTATATTTTTATAATATTACCATTATACTATAATTTAATTGCTTCGCCCTAATATAAATAGATATATTTATTATGTAATAAAATGTACTTATGTCAATAATTTTCTACCATCCCTACTAATATTATAAATGCGAAAGTAGCTCTGTCTGTCTGTTACGCTTTCACGTCTAAACCACTGAACTGATTTTAATGAAATTTGGCATAGAGATAGTTAGTTAGTAGATAGTTGACTTTGAGAAAGAACATAAAAGGTTCTCTATGAAACGCGATAAAACCGAATTCGACGCGGGCGAAGCCGCGGCGGGAAAACTAGTAATTTATATATATTTAAGTAACTAATTTTATATGTTTTCTTTGTCCAGGTGTTAGGAACACCCACGCGAGAACAGATACGTGAAATGAATCCAAACTACACAGAATTCAAGTTCCCACAGATCAAGAGTCATCCATGGGCTAAGGTTAGTGAGGTTATATAATGTACTACATATATATACATATATAATACATATATCGTTATGTAATGTTTACTATACGTATACATATTATTACACCGTCACTATCCAATATGAACACAGGATTAGATTTCTTTTGTAATTCAATATAATTAGAATTAAATATATTATATGTAAAGGAAATATAACATATTGTTTACAGAACTTTGTTTATATATATGTGTTATTTAAATTATAATAACATCCTGAGATAGCCATTGATGTAAAAAAACATCTCCATCATCATCATTGATAGAATCGGAATTTCACTACACATATCATAGATTAGATTAGATACATAGATGACTAGATACAGAGATATATCATATAGATTTTCCATTTATATATATATGTATATATAAACCAATGGTTGCAGTACATGTTGGAGAGAATACCACCCGCCCGCACCACTGATCACCGCATACGAGTAAGATATATAAGACACATACTAAATGCCTTTATATACATACCAACACTATTTACTATATATAAACTGTATATATCTTGTATATAAGATACGAACATATTTGTAATGTAAAATATTATTGTTTTGTTCACAGCACTTTATCTCTAACGCTTTTAAAATGTAAAAATCTTTTAAATTGTCAAATGTATACTTTAATTTTAGTGTTGTTTTTATCGACTACTTTAATGTAAAAATTTCTGTTTTTTATAATTATTTTCTGTATCATAAATGAAGGCATTTAGTTAGTTATTCGCATTATATACATGTTATATAAATGTAATGCGGATAAGTTGGTCTTTGAATTCAGGGTTACCACTAATTGGTTTATTGAGAACTCATAAAGTAATGTTTGTTGGTGTTCAGTGTGCTACGAGTGAAGTGTATAAATATCTTTCAGTTATTTTATTCATAACATTCATTATATAAAGGATAGGAAAATATTCTACATACATTTCTACAACCTAATTGCTAACTATTAACACATCATTATCATATCATTCATAAAATATGATCATCACTTCATGTACATATAGATTGTTAATTAAAATCTTTCATATGATATGTTTTTAGTATTCTCAATATTGTGACATCTTTTGTTCATGTTGTTTTTTTACTTACATTTATTTATGATATTGTATTGGAAGTCTTAATTTATATAATTATTTAAATCAGTGATTCCCAAAGTGGTCCAGGTGGACCCCCAGGGGTAAACGGGAGACTTGCTAGGGGTCTACGTAGGCGTGAACAAAAAATGGGGGTCCACGAAAATTTATCTGCTTTTGATAGTAAAGAGCAAAAATGTAAGCATAGTTTTTATAAGGGCCTACCTACATTGTTTTAAGTACCTAACTAAGCAGATAATATTTTAATAAGGCAAGCGACTGTTACTTGTCCAAACTTGCGTATTCGATATTACGTACAATTTCGTGTACAGACTTGCAAAGCGCTATCCGCCCGACAATGCTTAATGCTTGTTCAGACATGAACTTGGACACCACTATAAATACTTGATGCCAAAGGCAAACACTCATTCATTTGTTTCCAAAATTTCTAAAATTTTATTTTACCTATCGGAATATAAAGACAGAACTCAGAAGTGACAATTTTTATTTTTTGGTGACTTTAAGAATGTGGTAGAAATGTAGCAGCAGGGGGTCCACCGGAACCAGTAAAATTTTGAAAGTGGTCCACGAGAAAAATAAGTTGAGGGACTACTGATTTAAATGAATATTTTTATGACTCAGACCACAAAATATAATTGATTAGTATTGGTTTAAGAATTTGACTCATTTAAAGAATTTATTGAAGAATCATACCAAAATTCAAGGAATTTTTACTGCTAACTTTGAACCTGTCATGAACTGTGCTGAACCAGTCGAATCGAATAAAATTTTAATTTTGAAAATATAGTAAAAGTTTAATTAGTACATATTCTTCTGAATATGAACTATAAAAAATAAGCTTAATATGGATTTTCGTGCTATTTTTTTGTTAGTCTTATAAGAATTTAGATTTTTTCTAGATAAATTTCAATCAAAACAAGAAAATATGATTTCACCTAAGTAATGCTATTATAAATATACCTATTTGTTAGACATAAAATAAAGTATGAATAAATCGTATAAGTGATCCAAAACATTTATACAGGTGTTCAATTTTATATATTTTTTTATACTTACTGTATGTATTTGATCCAAAACCTTTATTCAGGGTGTTCCATTTACATGATATTTAAATACTCACTGTATTTATTTGATCCAAAACATTTATACAGCGTGTTCATCTGTGATGTTTACTAATTCTCCCCGTTCGTATTACAGGTATTCCGCGCCTGCACGCCCCCTGACGCCATTTCTTTGGTGTCCCGCCTGCTAGAGTATACTCCTGGCGCGCGTCTGTCCCCGCTGCAGGCGTGCGCGCATTCGTTCTTCGACGAGCTCCGCGAGCCGGCCGCGCGTTTGCCCAACGGCCGCGCGCTGCCACCACTGTTCAACTTCACGGAGTACGAACTGGCCATACAGCCGAGCCTCAACGACTTCCTCAAGCCTCGCGCCGCTGTAACAGACGCGGCCCCGGCCCCCACCGCCGCCTCCTCCGAACAACAGGACGCGCAGGGTCAGTGAACTCATATATTGTTATACAGGGTGTTCTTAGGATACTTTATTTAGTTTCTGTGTCTTTGTTCTTAAAACTGTCGAACGAAATATCATATTGTAACTAATCCACATACAACGGAGACATACACAACAACAGGAATTTATATTACAATTGACATTGGATGATTGGAAAGTGTATTACAATACTAACAATTGTCATTGTGTTATTCCAGGAGAGACGGCGGCGAGCGGCCCCAGCGGTTCCCCGGGAGCGTCGTAGAGACTCCTCTCCCACCACGCCCCGCGCCCCTCCCCCGCGCCCCTCGCCCCTCCCCCTGTACCGTGCGCGTCCCCCCCCGGCCGGAAGGCGCCGCGCCCGCGCCCACGGCCGCCCATGCTATTTAGTGATAGTAATCTTCTTATTGGCCATCGGGAAATTTTATGCATAATAGGTGTTTTCGGCGATTAATCGTGTGATACTGTAGTGTTATTGTCTATAGGAAGCTTGCGCCGTGTTCGTCGGTGACAGGGGTAAATCCGCCGTAGTTTATATGAACCGTAGCTATGTGATCGCTTTGTATAATGTATTTTTTTTGTAAGCTCAAATTGTCCGGTCGTGTACATCGATGCGTTCGTCATTTTACGCCTGGCCAGTATCCCTTGTGAGTGGTGTCTCTATAGTCACATGGTCGGTCACGTGACACACCTATTAACATATAGCGACCTCGCTTGGCCGTGTATCAGTAGAGAAGTTTCAGTAGCGCATTAGTATATAATCTGTGGACCGCCGACCGCGCGTGGCAAGCCGCGTGTGTTGTGCTAACATCGATCCCCAGATTGAGCATTTTTTTTGCATAAAAAAAAGCATACTTGTAAATTTTTATAACTAGCGTAAACTGATCTCTCAAGATAATTTTAATATTTAATAATGATATTTCAGAATATTATGTATTTGTATAAAACAATTCAAATTATATTATTTTTTTTTAGATTTACAGCATTATAAATATTCGTTTATTCGGGCAAATTTACATTAGAACCTTTTTGATTGCGGTGTACCTTTTTATCGAACGCTGAATAAATGTAAGGTATCGTACTAGCACTGTCGGTGTACTAATGTAAAATCATAGTTTTTTCGATTATATTGTATTCTATATTCAATAAATAATATTTCTGCTATGTAAAAATAAAATTGTCATTGAGAACACTTATATACACATAGTAGTCATTTATTAAATGATATGTTTAAAAAAAATATATAAAAATAATAATAATAATTAAATTCATTGTCATAGCTTTAAGTATTTGAGCAATTTCATTTTGCACACAGTTATTAGGTAAAGGTATTAAAAGCCTGTATATTTAGAGTAACGCAATCTTTTATTCATGGTATAGATATAGCCTTATGTAACGGTGTGCACCAGATCTTATCACCTATACACATTTGGCAGCTCGAAAGCGGTCGATGAATTCACAATCAAATAATTTTTAATACCATTGCCTGTATATGGTGTGTATCGGGGAATGTGAATGGATATTTTAGTTGGTCGTTATCAACGCGTCCTACACCCACGTATATAATATACGCTCCTATTATTACATATTTGTATGTAGTAATTATAAATTTTTTAGTACGTTAAGTGATAAGGGCGCCCTCGTGCGGCGTGCGGCGTCCGTATCAGACACATAGATCACACATAGATGAGCTTAGTTTTCCCCCGCGGATATTCTTTTGCTGGCCTTCATGATTCGTGTAAATATATTATAATTATTATCTTTATGGTATGACTCTGATAAAGTTTATCGGTAGAGGGCGCTAAGCCGCCCGCTTACAGACCCCGAGGTCTCAGTCGCTTCGTGCAGATGTTTGTATGTGAGACGCTAAGGGTTCGTAAGGTATTACTATAGTTTAGATATGCATATTTTATTAAGTCTTATCTTATATGAATTTTGTAACCGACGTTGCTTCTAAAGACCCTCTGTGTAAAAAGTTAAGACATACTAGTGACCTGAATTGAAGCGATGTTATTGGAACGTCTTAATCCCACTGAATTCTCACTTTGACTATTTGAGTGCACGTTTACTACAGGAGAGGTACCCTTTATTACAATACTTCGAAATGGGGTTGACTTATATAAATTATTTAAAGTAAAAGAGTTTTTCTTATTGCTAGTACTGTAATATTAAATTTAATAGTGAGTGAAATTTGTATTTTGTTTTAATTTGTTTTACTGAATTTGAATACATCGTAACACCCATATCGTTGTTAGTTATGAATGAAAATAACATAATTATAAAAGTAAATATTAAATGAATAGTAAGCATGGTTTTTTATTTCATAGTAATTTGATATTTATTCACTTTGATAATCTGAAGTTGCACTTAAAACATGTTAAATGCTTGCTACAGATAATGTTTAATATAATAATTACATATAACTTTTTTATAGATAAAAAATTGACAATTTATAAATATCTTGATGGTTGTCTTTGCCAGATAGTTATTTTTCATACTCATTTATAACTACTTGTTGAACGAACGAAATACCTCATCATAGAACATCTCTCAAACAACAATGTTAGTTTTTAATAAAATAATTATAAAGCTTGGATATTGCCTGAATAACTAATACTATAATAATAATACTATGATGCTTTTCGTGATTATAAGAATTTCAAATTATTTTTCCAACATCCAAGGTGCTATTGCTTTTTATTTCTCTTTCCTTAATATCCTTAAAATATTGAATAGTATGTATGAAACTGTGTGTATAAATTGAAATATATGTGAGCATAATTAAATTAGTTTGATAATCGCAAATAACTGGACGAATTGTTTACAACCTTAACAATTGAAGTATATACGTTTTAATTATTCTACGAATTACGTCCTATCCTTTTTGGAAAAATAATCTTGCCAATGAAACTATATAAAATTAATTAGTTTCACAGTTAGTAATGTTAACTTTAGTATTCAATGAAATGGAAACTTGAAATAAAATTACCACACTAGTCACAAAGTTTATTAAGTAAGATGAAAACTGATACTGAATCCTGTTGCAGATGCGTGATGACTATAATAGTAAGTATTACTTAATAGCGCAGGCTTTATACTATCGATGCCTGCATATTTGTCATCAGTAAAATTAATCCATTCAATAAAATCAGTTGAACAAACGCTTAAAAATTTAAAGATAAATGCTATATGTTTTTAAATATTAGTACATACATATATATAGCATATTTTTTAAACATGATGATTGCTTAAATCAGAATAATGCGAGTTTGGTTGACTTCTTTGGCCGAATTTTAACCATTACCACAATATATAAAAAAATTGGAACAAATAAATATTATGAAATGAACTCCTATATTTTGATCTTCTTCTTCTTCTTCTACCTGGCAATTTACCGGCTATAGCCAGGGTCTGCCTTACATGTTGTGAATAGTTTTTTGGCTAATTGTTTTTTACGACCGGCCGCCTGCCTGACATCAACCCTGTTTTTGGGAATCAACATTAATCAGTGATGTCTAAATACTCTTAGAAAGTACATATGACTCCGAAAAATCACATTGGAACTTGCCCGGGCCAGGATCGAACCAGCGCCCTCGGCAACGAGAGGCGGGCCCTCTAACCACTAGGCCACCACTGATTTACTAACTCTATATTTTGATATTAGTTGAAATTTTTATCAAGTTTTCTTGGTACTTAAATGAAATAAAATATAGGTTTGCAAATAAGCTATAAAGCAATAGCTGTTGATAAACCTAGACGTTGCCTTATAAGTTACATTTTAAAAATATATTCCCTTAAGTTTTTTTTTCTCTAAATAGAGGTTTATAATGAAGCATACAGTGAAAGGGTCCTGTGACGGTATGACATTTATATATGTCTCAATACTAACGAAAGATTTCTATGAACGTAGATTCATTTAAGTCATAAGTAAGTTATATGAGTAAAGTGAAGAGGAACATTCCGAGTTTAGTGATATATTAAAATCGAATATTTCTCTATAACATTTTAATTGGGACTAGGTATCACTAGAAGATTGTCAGTGTCACTGATAATGTAATTATAGACAATTCACAATTGTCAATGTCAAAATACAATTCCTTAATCAGTTTTTGTTAAATTTTGGTATATTTGATATTTATTTTTTCCTAAAATGCCTAATATTTCTAAAATGTTCACAAATTGAAGGGCTACAAATAATTATACCTTGTGACCGTTATTATATCACGAAATTATCTGTTGGTGTTCATTTAAATTAATAGATAAGTTTCAAATAGTTTGTTGGTAATTTTTGTAATCATGCATGAGGCGTACGAGGTTTCTCATCTTCTCAACGCAACGGTGCAGATTGAAGCAATCGCTGCTTATGGTAATGTACAAAGATGGGTAAAAATAATTTTATAAAAGATTGGAAAATGCTAATGTTTTGTTTAAATTTCCAGATGAGAACCTATTTTTAGGGACAAGACAGGGTCACCTGCTTATGTACTCATTGGCAACTAATAATGGCAATCAAAAGTATGAACTCCAGTTGCTTCGATACTGTAAAAACTTTAGCAAAAAACCTATCCAACAAATTGAAGTTATTCCAGGTAGCCATTATTATTAAGGTTTATGTTTAAAATATAGATGAAACGATGTTTTCAAAACATAATTTACTAGAGATTCTAGCAATAAAAAGTATTTAATAAGGACAAGAATAGATGCGGAATCTTTGTGTACTAAACTAAGTATCCTTTGTCTTTTCCAGTTCTTTGAATTCTGTTTTTATAAAGTCTTTCAAATATCATTTTTATGTGTGTTATTGTATTTATCATTAGTATAATTGTTTTACTATTCCAATAATGTCTTATTTAACCATTTTTTCTTATCATATAAAATTTATTCACAGAAGACAACCTATTATTGTGTCTAACTGATAATGTACTATCTTCATATGACATAAATGGAGTTAATTTTCCACTAGTCAAAACATTCTCCGAAAGCAAAGGTGCTTCCCTTTTTGCGTTAGATAACAAGGTATATTTAAAACATTATTATTCAAATACTTTAAGGCTTTTCATGGATATAATGTATCATTGTAAATATATATTTCAGTCAGCTACATCAATGACAGGTGAATCTAACTCCATTGTACACTTATGTGTTGCTGTTAGGAGGAAGTTGCAGCTATATTATGGAAAAAATGGAAAGTTCCAGAAACATCTCTTTGATTTCACAATTCCCGATGTACCTAAAGTTATGGCGTGGGGACAGCAATATTTGTGTGTTGGTTTTAAAGGGGAATACACTCTTTTTGATGTTAGTGTTATACATATATACATTTTTTATATACTTGTATATATAATCCTCCTTTATTGGTTTTTTTATGAAGTTAGAAATCATAACTTACCAAAATACAATTTAAGATGAAGTAAAGTCAAATATAATAGAAGCATAAATCATTAATAAAATGTATATTTACATCAATAGCTTTCTTCGGGAGATCCTAAAGAACTTTTTCCAACAAGCAGTTCAAAGTCCCAAGAGCCAACAATTGCCAAATATTCTGCAACATCTTTTCTCCTCGGCCGTAATAATACATCAGTACTGGTTGAAGAAGCTCAAGATATTGAAGTTAAGAACACAATTAAGTGGAAAGAGGCACCTATTGCTGTGGGTAAGCAATTTTTCTGTATAATATTTAATATTTGATTTTTATTTTTATTCTATAATTCTATAATGTATATGTAATATGGCCATAATTTAAAAATATTTTTCCACTTTTAAATTTGAAAAGAGCACAAATATAATACATATAAATATTCATCACTACCTATATGTAATTATGCCGGTTTATATCAAAAATTCATCACTACTATGATTTCAAAAATTGACTTGTACATGAACTATAAAACTCTCTGATGTTTATATTAAAAAAATTGTATATGTACCATATAAATAATATATTCTTTTAAATATTTGATATTTTATCATGTAAATAATTATTATTTAATTTCAGTTTGGGATGAACCATTTATCCTTGGCCTTCAACAAGATCAAGTTGTAATACAGACAGTGGAGCCAGCCTTATTTATACAGACTTTACCGGATTTAAATAAAGCAAGACTTATGTATAGGTATGTATATACATAAATATATAATTTCATTTCTTCTTCTTCTTCTTCTTCCTGGCAATTTCCCAGCTTTAGCTAGGGTCTGCCTTCCCACACAAACGCCTCCACTTTGCCCGGTCTTTGGCATCCTCGGTGGTTAATCCATTGGCTCTCATGTCCTGCTTCACGGTGTCCAGCCATCGCTTCTTTGGGCGTCCTGGGGGTCTCGCTCCAGGGACACACATATCAAGGCAAATCCTTCCGACGTAGTTCTCAGGCCGGCGTGCAACGTGGCCATACCATCTCAGGCGACTCTCCTCAAGCTTATCCGCTACGTCACGGACTCCAAGACTACCTCGGATGAATGTGTTACGTATGCGGTCAGCCCGCGTAACGCCACACATCCACCTTAGCATCTTCATCTCCGTGACGTGAAGCTCCTGAGTGTGCCTGGACAGTACTGGCCAACATTCGCTGCCATATAAGAGAACCGGTCGGATTATGCTCTTATATATTAGTCCCTTGAGCTTGGGCGGTATTCTGCGGTCGCAGACCACACCTGTGACCTCACGCCATTTCGCCCAAGCAGCGCTGATCCGGGCTTGGACATCGTGATCGATGCCTCCGGACTCATGCAGAATAGATCCAAGATACCTGAACTTCTCCGACTTAACGGCTGGTTCAGGACCTATATGGATGGTGCAAGAGTCCGGGCTCCCGCAAGCTATGTACTCGGTCTTCGACACATTTAGTTTAAGACCACCGTTCTCAAGCGCACCCTTCCAAAGGTTCACTCTCCGCTCCAGCGTCAGCCGGTCCTCGTCAATGAGCGCTATGTCATCGGCATACATCATCAGCCATGGAGGCTGGTCCTGGATGTTAGCCGAGACGGTGTCCAGCACTACATTGAATAAGAACGGGCTAAGAGCCGAGCCTTGGTGCACCCCTACTGAGATCGGGAAGGGTTTTGTATCGCCAACAGCAGTCCTAACCATGGAAACGGAATCGCGGTACATGTCTCTGATGATGTCAATATAGGCCTCAGGGATCCCTTTGGTTCGCAAAGCCCACCAGATACATTGACGAGGCACGCAGTCAAAGGCCTTCTGCAGATCTAGGAATGCGACATGCAGAGCTCTCCTTTTTTCCCTGTATGCCTCCATCAGGGTTCTGATGGCAAAAATGGCGTCCAAGGTGCCCGATCCAGGCTGAAATCCATATTGACACTCCGAGACAGTACACTCTCGGCGGAGCCTGAGGTCGATCATGCGCTCAAAGAGCTTCATGGTGTGACTCATGATCTTAACGCCTCTATAACTACCGCAATCTTGAACACTGCCCCTGCCTTTGTAAATGGGGGTAATGAAGCTATAACGCCACTGATGTGGCATAGTCCCAGTGTTCAAGATGCGGTTGAAAAGGTCCGTCAGTATGAGCACACCAAGAGAGCCCAATGATTTCCACGCTTCGATCGGAATATCGTCAGGTCCCACCGCTTTCCGATTCTTCATGCGTCGAAGACAATTCCGAGTTTCATCAGGTGTTATCGGGGCAATAAGTCCAAGATTAGGAGGTGGTTCGGTAGGAAGACTGCACGGGTGCTGAGTATTTAGCAACTCCTTGAAGTAGCATCTCCATCTCTCCTTCACAGAGGCATGATTACACAACAGCGTGCCCTGGGAATCTTTGACGCAAAGACATTTTGCGATATCTTGCGTCGCTTTATCCCGAGCTAGTGCCAATTTGTAAATGAGCTTCTGCCCCTCCGCAGTTTCAAGTGTATCATATAACGGTGATAACCTGTCACTGCGGGCTCTGGCAACAGCCCTTTTACTGGCACGTTTCGCTGCTATGTACTCTAGTCTGTCTTCAGGAGAGTGTGATTGCTGCCACTCCTTAAAGGCAGCCTTTTTTTTGCGAATTACCTCCTGCACTTCGTCATTCCACCACCACGTCTCCCTGTCAATGACCCGTCCCCCCCTAGAAAGACCTAAAACTCGTTTACCTGCCGTGATAATTGCTGACTGCACTCGATCCCAAGCTTCCTGAGCAGATTCGGTATGGGTCAACAGATTTTGACTCTCAACCGCTGCCCGAAGGTTGGTCTGCATCGTTCCATTCAGCAACCACCACCTGATCCGAGGCTCACGTTTCTCGGCTACTTTCTTTTTCGGGGTAACGACAAAGTCCATGACAAGAAGACGATGTTGGGCTGTCAGGCTTTCACCAGGAATGACTTTACAGTTAGTCACCTTGCCGATATGACACCGTCTGGTCAGCAGATAATCTAATTGGGTAGAGTGGGACCCACTTTTATACGTGATAAGGTGCTGCGAAGTCTTTTGAAAGAACGTGTTCACGACGGCTAAATCAGACGCAGTACAGGTTCTGAGAATAGTTTCTCCCTCTGCATTGCGGCGACCATAACCAAAACCACCGTGTACACGCTCGTACGTATCCGCAGCCCTACCTACGTGGCCATTTAAGTCCCCCCCAACTATGATTACTTCAGCAGCTGGAATAGCGCGTAGAACCTCTTCAAATTGCTCCCAGAATGACTCTTTTTCCGACCCACTACATCCCGCCTGAGGAGTATAGGCACTGATCAAGTTAGTAATGACTCCCTCGATCAGTACCCGCACCCGCATCAGACGGTCGCAGCGGCGGTCGACTTCAAGAAGACTATTCTGAAGCTCTTCAGATAGAACTACTGCTACACCAGCTTTACCTGAAGGCGACCCAGTGTATATCAGCCGGTAACCCTGTCCGATGGTGCGAGACTTATTGCCCTTCCAGCGAGTTTCCTGAAGGAACGCACACTGGACCCGACGTCTCACGAGTACATCTGCGAGTTCTCTGCATCGTCCGGTTAGAGAGCCAATGTTCCACGTTGCAAAGCGGAGTTTCCGTTTGGGTACTCGCGTCTTTAGCCGTGCCCGTACTTGACACGGTAGCCCTTGCCCACTTGTCACAGGTTTAGGGCGATGTGCCTGCGCGTCGTTTAACGGCGACGCCCTAGCCGTACCCAGTTCCTTGTCCTGTCTATCCATATTAGTGGCTTTATGGTTTTACTGGAGCGACTGCCGTCTGACCTCCAAAACCCCGTTAAACGGGTAAAACCAGGAAAGGATAAAGATAGAGAGGGGGAGGGGAAAGAGGATTGGAATGGGAATGAAGGGAAGGTACAGGACACCACCTTCATGGACTGGAGATAAAGGTATGAAAGTGGTGGCTCGAGGATCCGGGGTCGCGCACCCGTATGCCCAAAACCAAATATCGGAAAAATACTTAGCAGGAAATGTAATTTCATTTATATGGCTCTAATAAAATTATTATTGTATCTCTTTTATAAAACAATATTTCTTATGCTACTTTCATATTTAATATTTAAAATCATGTTCAGACTCTTATTATTAAATAAGTTTCAATATAACAACATTGAAAAATATTAATATAAATTTTGGTCCGTTTTTTAATCTAAATTTTTCTTGGTTAAATATACTCTAAAATAATTAAAACTATATTTTGATAATGACTGTAATAAGAGATGATAACTATAATAAAAAATATTAATTAAAAAGAAGATTTTAAATGAAAATTGTATTTAAATATCACAGGGCTATATTACAAACATTATTATTGATATCTGTCTGAAAGGTCTTGTGAATATAACATCAGTCTGAAACGCCTTTATCGTGTGGATTTAAAGTTTTCATAGGTTTATTAAACATTCCATTCATCACACTTATTTTAAACAAACATTCCATCTTTTCTATTAAGTTTTGTTTTATGTCATTTATAACAATGATTTAATTTACACTATCAGCTAGTGTATATAAAATAATGAAAATTATATTTTCATAAACTTTATTAGTTGTTTGCAATTTGTCAACTAACTTCTACATATTATTATAATATGCTAGCAATATTATAAATGAATATGTTTTTAAGATGTAATATTTTTTTGCTTGATAAAAACTACTGAATGGATTTTAATGAAACTTCACAAGCATATAGTCTTCATATGGGAATAACACTAGGTTATAATTTATCCCACAATTCCATGTATGTAGTTCTTGGGCGCGTAATAAAATAGTTATATTGTGTATGTAATGTGAAGGAATATAGATGTCGCTGGTAGTTCGTAGGAATATAGATGTCGCTGGTAATTCTGAGCACAACTTCGATATTCACACAGACGAAGTAAGGGACAAAAATTAGTAATGTATATAGCTTTAGGTAAAAAAAGGAAAGCTAGTAATGAGTTAACAATCTCGTTATAACAATATTTATGTTTTTAAAAATAATTCATAGAAATTTAAGTACAACTGATTAAAATATTTGAAATGTTCACTTTAGTAGACACAAAAAAAAACAATTTCATAGTAGAGAAAACCAGAAACGTGTTTTCCAAATACCAACGAATTTATTGTTTACAAATAAGAATATTATACATTGAATACAATACCATTTATATCAAATCAATTTATAATATAATTTAATTTTAAATATATCATCACAATTCGCCACCATACATAAAGAAATTTCTATGCTATTAAGCTATTACGATCATAATTCATAAGGTGTAAAGTGAAATTCATGTGTTATTTTCCAGATGTAAGCGTGGCCTTATCTTCGTTTCGTCAGTGGGTCAAGTTTGGTGTCTCAGTTCAGTGGACATCACTAAACAGAGGCAGCAGTTACTGAAGGACAAACATTTCCAGATAGCTATAGATTTAACGGTAATATATTTATGTAATATACTAAGTTTTGCTTTTCTTTATGCATATAGCCTTTTTGGAGATATCCGTTATCAATGGGTTACATTCCAATTTTGGTGATTACTTAATAAAATAAAACAACGTGCTTACTGACAGAACGATAAAGAAGGAATAGTTTTATTTTTAACTTTCAAACGTGTTTTACATTACTTATATAGATTGCACCATAAAAACTATTTTGATGTACATAATTACAAAAAATTTGAAAATCGGCCTTAAGTTGGAAAAAGGAGTAGAATAAAATAACAAACATTTAGTCCTATTGATAACATGCTGTTTTTGACGTCAATTAAAAAGTAGCCTATGGTTCTCCTTCTGACATTACCTTAATGCAAGGGAAATTCCCGTTGTAATTTCCAGCCCTTCCAGAAATTGATTGGCTTAAACTTAAATAGATAGATATTTGATAAGTGTAGTATTGATAAATAGAGTCAGTGGTGGCCTAGTGGTTAAAGGGCCCGCCTCTCGTGCACGAGAGGGCGGGTTTGATTGTACAATTTATTAATGATTTAAGTACATTATTGTGCTTTGTAAATGTAATTATTATCGTTTTAGAGGAAAAAATTTATCATGTAAAATATATTTAGAGCGTAAATAACATTATATTTAATCACAAATAAAATGTAGTCCATTCCCTAAGCTACAAAATTTATTTCATTATTTTTTTATACATGTATATTAATATTAGTAAGTTCTAAAATATTATTACACATTTAGAGACAATTTATTTTTATTAGGTTTCATTGGATTAATTATAATGAATTCACATTATTACTTTTTTATTATCTGTGATCATAAATAATTAGAATTACTTTTATTCCTCAAAAAATAACACACGAGACCGCAGGCAGTAGCTAGTATGTCATTTCTATTAATTTTAATTGGCAGTGATTGTTGTATACGAAATATCAATGATTGAAATGCAATTAATTAAACTCATGAGGAAAAAACGAATACATATTTGTAGTGTAAATTTGTTCATTGTTATAAACAAACGTTTAAAAATATTATTCGTTACAAATCAAGATGTTTCATTTCAAAGGCAAAAGAAGACAGGCTAAGATTATAAGGCTCATTAACGTGAGTATTGTCAGTGATCTAATTTGAGCTTTAAATACTTTATATATAAGAATTATATTTCTTTGAATTATACAATGTGATGGAGAGTTTCCGTTGTTATTGTTTGAAATAGAGAAGGCGGGATACTATGGCTCTTTTGTTATACATTTATTTAGAGTCTGCAATTGGTCATTTTAAATTTTAAATTCTATAAAAGCAGTTTAAAGTCATGAATTTTCTACACATATAACTCATCACACTTTCTTCAACAAAATGTTATAAGCTAATAACTATTAAGGTTTCGGATGCAACGCTTTTTTTATTATTTCATAACTACATAATCCCGACGAAATTATGTTGTTATAAAAGATATAAAGATGAGATGAAAAGATAGGTGACGCTTTTATCTCGTCTGCCCGTGATCACGGTTGCTGTAAAGGAACCAAAACGTCGGGAGTATGTAGTTTTCGATAAAATAAAAATCGCGTAGTACATCCGAAAAATATTAGTTTCATCTACCACGATATATTAATCCAGATCTATAACAAAAGTTTACATACAATTTCTATATAGAAATAATTAATATATTCTTCAACAGAATCTTTCGGACTGTTCGCCCGATGAGAAGCAGCAATCCATTCGTTCGATCCAAAAGTTATACGCCATCGAGTTATTCGAGAGCAAACTATACTCGCAATCCATGAGAGAATTTATGAAACTCAATACAGATCTGGAGTTCGTTATAAAATTGTTCCCTGAAATAGACAATAAACCTGGTACCGAAGTCAAAAAACCGAAAGGGAAAGATTCCGAGAACCCTCTCAACGCGTTGATAGAATATCTATTGGAATATAGATCGAAGATTGGTAAAAATGCTCAGGAGTCGAGCGGTAAAGACGAACCAAATCAGAAGACTATACAACAACAATTAGAACTGATTGATACTACGTTATTGAAGTGCTATTTACAGGTATTTATAAAATTTTGAAGTTTTATCTTTAATACGCTTCAGAGTATCAAATATGCCTTAGGTACTTATCTCAACTTCATTATAAAGGTGCGAAAGAAATCAGGATGAATTAATAAAATGACCGATTAAATTTCATAAAGTTCTCTAGTATTCCTATGATAAAAACAACGGAAAATATTTATAATATTACAGCATTCATTCGTATAGAAAAATACATTATAATGTTACCTAAATAAAAAAAAATAATAATAAATCTTATTACAGACTAACGACGCTTTAGTGGCTTCATTGCTGCGTCTCAATAACTGTCGTTTAGAAGAATCTGAGAGTACGCTTCAAGCGCACGGCAAGCACAGCGAATTGATCATTCTGTATCAAACTAAGGGCCAACACACTCAAGCGCTGCAGCTGCTTAAAGCTCAAGCAACCCAACAAGACTCGAGCCTTAAAGGCTTTCATATGACCAAGAATTACTTACAACACCTCGGTATGAAATACTCATAGAATAGTTGTTATTATGATACAATTAAACCAGTATATTTGTCTTACATAATAGGATTTTTTGTATATATGTTACATATCTATCCTTTATACAGGGTGACTGGTGAATTACTATCGATATTTGAGGACGTGATATTTGACGATCATATATGACAAAATAAAAATTAATATAACATAAATATTAATAAACTTCTAAGTAAAGTTAACCAAAAGTTATGTAATTAATTACGCATCGTATGAACACCCTACCGATTAGGTATACACACACACACACATACGCGTGTGGCGGCGTAGTGTTGTATCAGCACGCCGTCGCACGCGTCCACACTTGGGACACTTGGAACGTGTACACACTTTATTTATTTATACGGAAATTTGGTAAAAAATTAAGTACCTATTTTTTTTACATAATTCGAATGAGAATCATGTACCGAGTATGCTCCTTAAATATTGATAGTAATTCACCAGTCACCCTGTATATTAGCATTACAGGATTTATATGTGAAAACATGATAGAATTTTAATATTTGCTTTTGAGATAGAAATTTAAATATTCATTTGTATGATTTAGTCATATAAAAGTTGTTAGCACTGATACAATTAAACAAGTATATTTATTATGTAATAAGATTCTTTTATTATATATTGCACATATCTATTATTTATCTTTTATTATATTACATACAAAAAAATATAGAATTTTATATATGTATTTTTTTTATATAACTTGTATCAGTACGAGAATTATCAAAGAAATTTGTAATATTACAGGTGCTGAACATTTGAATCTGATATTTAAGTTCTCCGATTGGATATTAGAGGAGCATCCTGAAGAAGGTTTGAAAATCTTCACTGAGGATATACTAGAAGTGGAAAATCTACCACGACCTAAAGTATTGGACTTTTTACTTAGAGAACATGAATCTTTGGTCATACCTTATCTTGAACACGTGATACATACATGGAATGATACAAATTCATTATTCCATGATGCCTTAATAAGAATGTATAGAGAGAGAATCACTGATAAAAAAACAAATGCGACTGAGGAAGAATTACAGCATATTAAGTCCAAATTAGTATCGTTTTTGGAGAAATCATCTCATTATACTCCAGAGAGAGTTATATTACATTTTCCGAACGACAGTTTGTTTGAAGAGAGAGCTATTATTTTGGGAAAGCTTGGAAGACATGAACAGGCTCTATCGATTTATGTACAGGTTCTTGGTATGAATGTTTTGTATTATAATATATGTTATTCTCATCTTGCAAGCTTTTATGAGCCTTAAAATACTGATTTTTGTATATTTTCTGTCGTATATACGATATAATTTGGTAATCTTCCTGACAAACTCGAAAATTACATACACATAATTACTTCCATAGTACTAAATTAAATTCCCAAAGTTGATTAGTTATTATAAAATATGGTATTCTCATTTTGCAAGCTCTTATGAGTCTTGAAATACTGATTTTTATTACATCTATTGTCATATCGTATATAAATAGGTAATCTTCCTGACAAACCAGAAAATTACCTACACATAGTAACCCATAGTACTAAATTAAATTCCACAGGTCGATTAGTTATTATAATATATGGTATTTTCATTTTGCATGCTTTTTTGAGCCTTGAAATACTAATTTTTATATATTTCTTGTCGTATCGTATATAATTTGGTAATCTTCCTGACAAGCCAGAAAATTACATACACATAGTCACCCATAGTACTAAATTAATTCCCAAAGTCGATTAGTTAATTAATTAGCTTTTAATATAATTTCAGGTGACGTGGATAGAGCAATCAGGTATTGTGAGAACGTCGCTGATAAAAACGCAGATGTGTATGTAATATTGATAAGAATACTCATGAACCCAGAACAAAATACTTCACTGACTGGACCTTTGGCCAATGTACCAAGACACCCGAACGCTTCAGTACCCGATGTAGAAACAGCTCTAAGTGTATTGGAGAAACACGCGGACAAAATATCACCTATCAAGGCATGTATTATATACAAACAAATAAATAAATGTTCTCTGGAATGAAAAATATGCAAAAAATTAGAAATTATTTATTTATAATAGTATTTTCGGATTTAATACGTTTTCTTTATTTTTTAAACTAGATACTCCCGGTGTTTCGGTTATTTTGTAGCAATATTGATCACGGCCAGACGAGATAAATTTTTCAAAAGTTTAAAATAATAAAAAAAAAAAAAAACGAAAATATTAGTATATATATCCGAAAATATTAGTTTCATTTAATCGAATACTCGCGACAGTCTTGGACCTCATTTTATTACAAATATAATCTTGAAAAATTAAACATATATGTAGATGGTAAATAATTCTCTATCTGTCATGGGTTCATAATTTTTGAGTCACTCAAATACTGATAATATTTAATGTTCCTATAAAATTTATATTTTGATGATCTTAAATATATATGTATAATATTTTTAATATATATACTTATTTTCAGGCATTATCAGTGTTGCCAAGCTCTGTACCGTTAAGTCGACTTAAAGTGTTCTTGGAGAGCGCTTTGGAAAGTCAGTTAAGTTTGAAGAGACGTACACAAGTATTGAAAGGATTATTATACGCTGAACATATACAGGTATCATATAGTATAAAAACACAGTTTTTTTAAGTATATATAGTAAAAATTTTAAAAATACTAGTCCCTCCAAAGAAACTTAGTAATAGGAAACAATTGTTTTCTATTAAATTTGAAAATATAATACTTCCCTATTAAATTATATATGTATTATATCAAACTCAAAAACCTAATGAATATTATAAAAAATTTGTTTAGAATAACAAGTAAATATTTTAGCTAAATTTACACACTAATGCTGGTTACTTCACTGCATAGCAACAATATTGCATGTGTTTGGAATCTACCGAAAGTCTTCATTTCTCTTCTACTTTCTATATTTGTGTATCTTTTTTTCTCACTCCCTCCGCTGAGGTTAAAATAAAACGCAATACATCAACGCAGCATTTTTGAAAACGCATAAGAAGTTTCGGTTTAATAAATAAATGTATATAAAATATCAATTTATTACTATAATGAAAAATCAACTATGAGTCGAATTAGAATAAATTAGAAAAAAGGGTCTCACCTTATTTTTCTTTTAATATAAATAAAATTATTCTTACTAAATAGTTTTTACTTAAATAAATTTAAATTGATTTATTGACGACTAAAGAAACGGTATTGATTACATGTCACATGTAAATAAATATCTGAAATTATATCATTAATATTAATTATTTGTTTTCACCAGGTACAAGAATTGAAACAATTTCACGAATCTAAGAAGATAGAAATAAACGACTACAAAGTTTGTCCCGTTTGTAAGAAGAGATTTGGCAATCAGAGCGCATTCGTCAGATATCCTAATGGGGACATAGTACATTATTCATGTAGAACTGATAACCGATAGATAATTAACGTAGATTTAACTTAAATTAAACGTAAGTTATGAAAAACCAATACCTTAATAGGTAACTTGATATATAAATTGCTAAGTCACCGATAGAATAATCTCTTATTTAATGAAACTGCTAATCATATTTCATTTCAAAATATATTTTTTTATTATATGAGTTACAACTGATATATATGAATATGGTCTAGTGATAAATTGATTGAAGGAAAATTCGTTTAAAGGTAGATATTGTAACAACTTCAAATCAGTTTGTTTACAATATTTATATTGTTTCATTGGATGTTCTCATTGAGTACTGTGTGATATGTAAAAGTAAAATTTTTGTATTTTATCTCCAATTACAGGTTGGATATTTAATGGAAAGGTTTTTGTTTCTCTAAACTATGAAGTATTTAGTATTATAATACTTATTCTGATTTTTGGTGAAGAATTTTTGTGGGGCATAGCGTATTTTCTATATTTCAGTGAAGTATCGAAGAAAACTTTGTATTTGTTTTATCAACCGTATTTAAATTGAGTTTATATTTATACACATTATATGAATTAATTTTTTAATTACCTTTGATCTATAAAGGGATGAGTTTTTGCATAATAAAATATATATTGCAAAGAATTCCGTACCCGTCAAAGATAATTTTTGAGTTTAATTAAAAATAAAACAATTATCCACAGATAATAATTTTCTAATAGTCATATACGCTTATGTTAATGTATGTAGTTTGCATAATAAAATTTTATATAGAAAAAAATAAAATTTTGGCTCTTTAGGACACTAATATATGTATTGAAAATAGAAGTATTATATATAGTGTCCAAATAAAAAGTTTCCTTGATCAATCACCAACTAACAAATAGCTTCTTTGTTTTGGCATTTGATTTGGGTCAATTATTTTTAACCTGTTATAGGACTGATATAATTTAGTTTAGTTAATTATCAACCTTATGCCTTTAACTTAAGAGTCATTGTACAGACGTTATATATTTTTTTATTGTATTTATTATTCGCTATTTATATTTAACTTATGTAACAATATATTTAATGTTGTAATATAATGATTTTTAGTAAATATTTTCTTGTATTATTTTAGATTTAGTTTAATGACCCTTAGAATTCAATATAACTATTTTTTTTAAAGTACTTATTGTGATACAAAAAAAAAAACATGGTTTTAAAGGAAATTTGTTGTATCAGGCTCTATTTAAATATTCATCTATTATGAAAAAATACATATTATGTCACAAAATATATTTGTCAGAACAAAATTGGAATAAAATATTAAAAAATATGCTGTTTCTAAATTAGTATTTAAATATATATGTAAATATTAAAACAGAAAGTATGTAGGTACAATTTATCAACATAAAACCTAAAACATATGTTTAAAGATAACATCTCGTGATATAAACGGTTTTCATGAATAGTTACTTTTCCCATAACAACGTGTGTTTTTTTATACATATGTCTACATACGTATCTCTTGTTAGCTATATAATTTCAGATACAATGTATATAATGTATGTAATTTTTCATTATGAAAACATTTATTTCAAACATTTATAGATATTAGATTCTTAAACAAAGTTTTAGGTTTAAAGTATAAAGGTGATTTATTCTTTTAGTTTCAATCAATTCAATTCACATTACTTCAAATTTAGAATATGTATATGTATAAACAAATATTCGTTTTAACAAGCTCTTTGTTGGTTATGAATTTTGGTCATCTCAGAAACTGGCAACATTTTAATAATTTTGAATTATAATGTTCGTATTATTTTCAAACATTGCCAATATAAATTGACATTATTAGAATAAAAATATGTCTAACTCTTTCATACAACTAAAAAATTGTATACAACAAGTATCAAAACCATGAAACATAGTTTTTGATCATATTAAGAAATAATTATTCGAGGAGATTTTAGAAGTTCACCTATTATTATATTGTAATTTATATTATTTTCATAATTAGGTTTTTTAGGTTATAAATGATTTTTTCTACTATGTAAAAAAGCTTACCTTTAAAAGTGGTACTTACCAATAAAAGAAAATAGTTTAATCTTAAACTGACTTTAAAGATCATTCTGCAATAAAATAACTACAATTTTTTTTCATCATTATTATAATTTAAAATAATGGGTGATATGTTATTCAGAGAAATCACACATAGTTATTTTGTATTGTAATCACAAATACATATTATACATATTTCATTAAATACTATAGAAAAAAAACTTAGGTATATGGTCACCATTTAATATGTTTATAAAATCCAATACCTACTATTTGTATGACCTTCATATAAAAAAAATAGCAAATGTGTTAAAAATAAAAATAACCTTATAAAAAAACTCTTAACAAATTTTTGTTAATGGCGTCCAATAAAATGAATCAACTGGCTTAAAAAGAGTCACATTTTCCTTCCATTTAGGTTTCACTGATCATCAAGATGATTTTATATTGCACAGAAGTTACGCGGTAGTAAAAATAAATAGTTAATTACTGGAACCGAGTTGGAATTATGAACAATACGTATAAACTTGTCTCGTTTATAAAGTCATTCCGATATCTTTCTATAATAGACGTGTTGTAGAAGCCAGTAGAGATGAAGTAGTGATAGAACTCGAGATTTTGCTCACGAAAAGTAAAACATAGATATAAAAATTTAATTTAAAAAATATGTATATGTACAAAACTGGAACTGTTTTGAATGTTTTCGATAACATTCGTCCTTGGTTGAAGCATAAAAATATTTTAGATATAATAAATTTACCTTCCTAATATATAATCCTAGCCTTATAAATTATAGTTTTAAAGTTTTAATTGTTAAAATGGAAGAGTTTTTTTTAAGGGTAGGTATGCATTGAATAAACTTTTTTTGGTCTTAAAAAGCTTTGCCCACCAAGCCGTATACACACTTAGCAGTCGGATATCGAATACTAGTTCCACTATCTCAAACAATAAGTAATAGTGCAATAGTAATAAAGATACCATAACCATTTTAAAATTATTAATTTCGTGGTCACAATTAAGAAGTAATGATAAAAATTTAAGCTATTGTCCTTAGTTTGTTACTTTATTCCTTTATGTTGTTGGCACTAAGTAAATAAAAAAAAATTAAGTTTTTTTATTCATATATATTTTTCTGAACATCATATGTATTTATTGAAAACAATACAAAAAAAAAGTTTAAAACTATATTGACAGATGGCATTGGAGTGAGAATTGTTTATTCATTGATTAATTTTCGGTAATTGGGTGGAAATGATGATTTATAACGGTTCTCTTCGATGGAAGCAAAGTAGATAATCAGTGTTAATTATGGAGTGAGCGGCTATGACGCGTGAAATATACTATGACGCAATGACATTACAGTGTGGGCACACTCGCGCGCCGGTCAGCCACGCGCCTCTGTGGCCCAATGGATAAGGCATCGGCCTCCTAAGCCGAGGATTGTGGGTTCGAGTCCCACCAGAGGTAAATGCTATTTTTTATTGGCAGGCCCATGGTACAGATAATTCAAGGCATCTATAATATTCATGTTCATAATTATATACCTCAAGAGGTGCACAAAAATCTCAGTTTTAAGTTTTTTGTAATAAAAAGATAGCAGGAAATATTATAGTGGTCCATTTCCTGAAATCATAAAATCATTATATTATCGAAACATTCTTTAATGGCCAGTTTGTTGATTTATTCAAATAAAACCTCCTTCGGAGCTTCGATGTCATTCAACATTATGAGAGGCAGAATTTTAAGTGCTTATATAGCAACGCTCTTCTATCTTAAAAAAAAGTGATGTAACTATTTTAGTAGATAAATATTCTTATTGTGACAATATAGAATGTAATATTGAAATATTGGTTATTTATTTTAATTTGTCACAAGAAGATTTTACATAAAGGTTTTAAGGAAAGCATTGCGAATGGTTTGTTTCACTAACAACATATTGGCGTTAGTGTACGTTTATAAAAATCCGATATCTCGGGGGAAAGCTGATAGATATGATAAGGATACAATTTTATTGATAACACCCGATGAGGCATCGATCAGTCGAGGTTTTAACCATCTACGGAACTGTACCAATATTACGTTGTTTTTTTTATTATATCAATAATTTATATAAACTTGTGTTCGGTGGTGTATGATGAAAATGATTGGCGACGGTGAAATGGGTTATGGGGACTATTATAATTATGAAAATAACTGGTCGGTGGTGCCAACGGATTATGGGGCTGAATCCTGTCAGTACCGGCAGCCACAAGTTGAAGACGACTACAGATATGGAACTTACGCGTAAGTTAACAAGAAAAAATCATTATATGCTAATAAGGGTTACAGTTGTGAAATTGGTATTAAAATATACGACAGGTTTTTAAAAAAAAAATCGACCAACCAATTAAAAAGTATTTCTTATGACAAGATTTTTTTATAATTAACAATAAGATACTTCTAACTATAAGAGTAACAAAAAGGTTATAAGCTTATTAGATACATATATATTGATTTTTTTTTAATTCATTAACATAATAAGTTAAGTAGCCGCAACAACTGCTTTTTATTACGAAATGTGCAAATAAAATATTAAGAAAATAATAAAAAAAATGTTCGTTTATAATTTGTTCTTGAAAATGCCATGTGGGAAAAAAGTTCCAGAAAAATACAAACTATTTAATAATATGTCTATCTGACTGACTGTCAGTACCTAAATGATGACGTCAATAAAGGATATACCTATTATTAGTCAGGTTTTCTATTGCATTGATAAACACATTATCGTGTAGGTTAACTTATTTTCTACGAGCATCATTTCGAGTACATGTTCCAACGTGTTAATAAAATGCTAAATCAGAAACGTGTTATATCTTTTTGGTTGGCTGGAGTCGGTTGCGTGTTGTTGAACCATCGTTGGAGTCACGAGTACCATCGAGCTCGTAATCCGTCAGCTGCGTCTTCTCCCATGCCTTCGTGGAAACCCTTAATTGGTTCGGAAGCCCTCTTCGCGGCTTCGTGCCTCAAACCATTTATGCTTAGAGCGCCTAACCAGATTGTAATAACAAAATATTCGTGAAACTCATCGACTACACTCGCCTTCCCAAGTTTTAGATATTGGTAAACTTTTGCTCGTAAATTCATTTTAAGTACGATACTCTTAGGTGCTGACTGACGGATATTATGTACGCTATTGCCTGTTCCGTCACGATTTTGTAATAATTCTCATTTGTTCTTTAAATCTTGTTCATTTCAAGACATTAAGGATGTTTGTTGTTCGTATAGTGGTTGAGTCATTGTTTAAACTGTCATGTAATTTGCTTGTACCGGGCTTTACCGACAAGACGTTATGGCCGTGTTTAAGTCTGGTCATGGGGTAGTTTTTTCTCGCTATAAACGGAGCATGGCACGGATGGCTCGACTCTATAACACAATATAATAATACATCCACTAAACTTTTACACAAATTACTTTCCTATCGTGTCGACGATCAGTCCCTATTATTTTATCATTACGGTAGCGAATATGAAGCGACTGTAATGTCTCTAATTTAGTATCTATTTATGAAAATATTTTGTATAGAAAACGTATAATTTAAGTAATTTACAAACAAGTTTATGTTATACCATTTATTCTGTATTAAATTTACATGGATTCAGGAGATTTGCAAATAGAGTACGAATACAAAAAGAATACATTTTTATTCATACCAAAGAACTGAGATTATAAATAGTTTAATTTCAAATTAGAAGCACAATGATAACGTCTAATAAAAATTAATAACTCCAATAGAATTAATTTCCAATAAGAAAGAACTTATATTATTTTATATTATAAAATAACAGTTTTATAGATCTGTATATATTTCTATTAGTCTACTTCAGCGTTTTCGTGAGTCAATTCAGTCGGAGCGGTGAAGACTAATGTATGGAAACAATTTGAACACTCACTATTACCTTATTTCGTCAATTCTTTTTATGTCTGGCTTTAACCCGAATGGAAATGTCGTGTTGGCATTTTTATATTTCCAATTCAGTTTCTTCTATAATAAATATCTAATGCTTTCTTGTTTTTCCATTAGTAAGATTAAAACCGCTTCAAATTGGTAAAAGCTTTGAGAAAAACAACTTAATTAAACCATGGAAATCTTTAAAATATTTAAAGAAACATTTGAATATTTAACGAAAATTATGTACCAGTTTAAATTGTTTATGTTAAGATAAAGCGATTTTTTCAACTAGTAAATGATAAAAAAATAAGTAATCACTAATCAGTGAGTGATCATCGATGTATATTGGGGCTCGAACACCTGCCCAGACCCCTCACAAATCTGGTTGCAGCTTACCTTTAGATAGAATATGTTATGATTTAACATATTCTAATAGAATAGTCCAAATAATCATATCAAAGAATAGTTCATTTAAAATTAATTAAATCTACTACTACGATAGATGCAAACAAGCTAGAGAAATGTTCTTTAAAAACAACAGGTTGATTTCGTGATTTAAATTATACTAAAGTATGAAAAAACGCTTAAATCTTTTCGAAGAAAACTATGTATAAAACCTACTTGGCAATTAGCTTGTCTTTTTAATATATTATGAAATCCGATTAGAATTAACATTACACCAAAACACATATATTTATATCTCAGACTTATACGAGGCGTCATTTGTCTATGGCTATCGCAATTACTTACATTAAATTCCTAATAGAAAATATAAACTAATCTGACAAAATCTGTATCATATTTCTCTGGATTTTTATCATATACTGTACATTTCCGATCACCGATCACGTCGGGTAGGTAGATGTTTTAAAAACTCATTCTCAATAAGTCAATTAAATATTTCACGTCAGTACTACGCACGCCACTTAGGGGATGGTACCCATTATAAATTATTGCCCTTTGTTGTGCCCTTTCACTGGCACCGGTAAAGAACATCGATTTTAAAATTATAGATGTTATCACTTACAATGATTTTACAGCTAACTCGCTACGTTTTATATAAATGTTGGCTTTCATTTGTAATTGATTCACGGTAATTTGTTTTGTTTGATTTATATGAAAGATTTCTATGCAAAAATAAAATGTGATTTACTTAGAATATTTGCTATGAGGAATTTTTATTTGAAACGTCTCGATCTTCATCTAGTCTAGTGATCATATTTGCTGTTGAGTAATCGAGACGTCGGGTTAATAAAACAATATAATAAATTGCGAATGACATCCAAAAACCATTGTTTCGATTAAATATGTATGAGCGAAAATATAATATATCATCTTGTCATTTGTTTGTTAATTAGGTTTATTTTCGTTAAAACTATTTCAAAGAAATTGTAAATGTAGATATAGTCTCAATAATAATTAATAACTATCGTCAATAATAATTAATTAAAAAGATTTTGGGACGGCAAAGAATACTACATAGAGAATACTTAATCGCCTGTTTTACAAACCAATCATGATCGAGTTTCTGCGTTTGAGATTACTTTTGTGATACTAATGTCTGTAGCCGTCAGTATAATTAATACAAGAAAATTCTAGAATCTAGACGTTAAATCGTTTAAAAAAGCACAAATACAATCTTTTATATCGAATGGTAGCAATTGTTTACATGAGACACGAGAAAAAATGCTTTTAATATCTTAGGTACATATTATAATATAATTAACTGGTTGTCTAGGTATCATAATAAGCCTTTGAAAAATATATAATAATCTACATTTTTTTATACAAAATAAAATAATAATTTACAGCGTAATATTTTTTGTACAAATTTTATTTCTAAGACATTTTTCTATTATTAAGGTAAGGTAAGGTAAGGTGTTTGCTTGTTCTATCTTTTAATTCTTTATTAATAAATACAGAAATAGATTATGTTAGAAATTGTGCATATGTGTACATACGCATACATTTTTATAGAGATAAACTTAAATGGATTTAAGTGAACCATAAAAGCTTATAAAATCAGTTACAGAGACATAATGTCTACATTTTTCATATTCGTTTACGACCATTTGTAACTTAAATTATTATTAAAATTTATTAATATTCACGTTATACACCTTAAAGCGATTACTAAGAGATTTTGGTGTAACAAAAATCTAACGATATTTTTTAAGATCTCTTATAAAATTTTGTAGTAAGGTTCGAATATATAAACATACATACATACATACTCGGGTTAAAATATCAGAACCCTTCCGTATTGTATTCGCTGTAGCGGAACACGATTCACAATTCTTTATTCCATTCAAAATTGTTAAACACATATTAACCTTAAATACTTTTACATCAAAATGCTCCGTACATATATAATGATATAATTTAGTTCAATTTTTCTGATTCCCAAAGAGGGTTGATGTCAGGCAGGCGGCCGGTCGTAAAAACAAATAGCCAAAACTATTCACAACATGTAAGGCAGACCCTGGCTATAGCTGGGAAATTTCCAGGTAGAACAATTTAGTTTAATTTTTATTGAAGTATAGTAAATATCAAGTACTTATTACATTAATAAAAAACGCGAAGTAAACTCGGTAATGAATAACTTAGAAAGGCACGAAATACTTACAACGCTAAGCGGTTCAAGATGTCTTCAAACAATGTAGTTTAGTTACAATAGTGTATTGTCCTAAACAATTTAATATTGCAACACCTGTGACAGAATCCGATCCCATTAAGCTTATTAAGAAACAGATGTTCAACTTGTTAGTTAACACTTATTGTTTAAATAATTACAATATTTTGACTTAAAATGGCAAGAGTTTAGAAATTGAATAAAATATATTTAGGATTTATTGTAAAGTAAATATATAAAAATGTTCCAATTCAATTTATTTTGAAAGATTCGTTACTAACTTACTTTTTATAATAAATATTTTTTTCAATTAAATAAAAAAAAAACCGTAATGATTTCCATTCTTATAATCCATTTCATATTTTCAATTACCACACCTTATATGTAGTTTTTTATTCATTATTTATTGCACTATAGCAGTTTAAAATCTCAATATGCTTACAATTTTAATATTAACTAAAAAACTTTTTTCATTATATAAATATTTATTTCATGCCTTCAATATTATATAGAATGTTCTCATATACTTTTAACAAACATATTTTTAGTTCACTTCAGGTTCAATAAGCTCAAAGTACAGTATATAAAACGATATTTATAAGTGTATAATAAAACTGCGGCGTTGTACTAATTTTTTAAATAAGTCTATGAATCCTAATTTCTATTTCAAATATTTCTAAAACTATCTATATTTACAAGTAAACTAATACAAAGAGTCACGAATAAATAATACAAGGACTGAAACAATGCGCGGGCGCACACGTGCAAGTCATAAACTGATAACTGGGATTTTTGTTGGTACCTGTTCAAGGAACTATGAAGTATGTCTCATTGTTTACACGATCATAATGATTTAAGTATTTGCACATGTGCAAGCCGCTAAACCTGTAGCGTCAAGTTCTCGAATATTAGAAATAAGGTTTCCTTTACTATTTGTCTCTATGACAGAGATTCGTTCGTTCGAGAACGATCATTTTTTATATTAAATACCTACAAATAGTTAATACCACAATAATAAAATACAAAACTATTATTATTCAGTGCCAATATTTGGTTACAATAAATCGTAACGTGGGTATCGAGCGTTCTCATAATACGAATAGAAAAAAGTATATAAAAAAAAAAAACATAACATGAGCTTACGCGGACTTATTAAAAACACTCTAAATGAAAATCGTTATCCGGGCATTTAGAGCGGCGTCCATAACGAACCGGGCTTCAACAATGGGCTTAACGCCGCACTCATTACAAAAGCAACATAACGTAACGTGCTACGTCGAAAGCTCCTCTATTCAAAAGTATACTTAAGTTTTTTTGTTGGGAAGGCTGATGTTGAGGTTCTATTGGACGGACGTCGTCCCGCCCAGTGCGGATGAGGCTGCGATTGGTCGGGCTGTCGGAGCACCCTCAAACTGAGCTGAGTAGGCTGTCGAGGGCGGAGGGGTGTGCTTCACCCCGAGCACCACTCGAGGGTTGTTTAGTGTAGGCGCAGCGTCACGAGGCGCAGCACGTGTTATACCGGTGTGTTGTGTCTGTTACCAAGATTATTCCGAAGGCGTCTTCTCCCGGACGGGAGATGAAGTCCGAGGAGGCTGAGAGCGCGCGGTCTCCGCCGCCCCTACTGCCGCCGGCGTCCTTGCTGGCTTGGAGCCCTATTCTGTTACCGCCATGGGGACCGGCTTTTTTACCGGCTTTATACCCGGCGGCTTTTCGATCCGCCTTCCCAGGGTAAGCGACGCCAGTGATGATGGATTACAAAGTGCATATTGTGTTAATATAAACGAAAAAGGATAATTATTCTTGCTTAATAATTTATATTAAAATGTCTTACATTTCATTCGATGAAAAAAGTATTTTCTTGTTCCCTCTTTTTTAACTGGTTCGATGGTTGATGATTTCATATGTTTTTAAGGCATTGCTAGTTTTTTAAACGATCCTTCACAATCTTTCATCCAATCGTGACACATGTCAGTATGGTTACGTCTTAGTGAGAGCTTGTTAATGTCGGTGTTTACAACCTGCTAAAGTCTCTTGTAAGGCCGCCCTTTCATCGAGTCACGTACTAACACCCGGACATATTTCACAGCTACATGTAATTCTAATATTTTAATAGACATTCGGATCTTGTACATTCTGTTTCCTATTATATGGGTCACGTTTTCTTGAGAGGTTCTCACTTAACAATTGAGTATTTGAATTGATAGATTTTGTGTGCGTTTCTTTTTAGTTATGATCTCAACTTTGTGTTAGATGCCGTAGCTGATTTGAATTTGAATGTTTTTGTTAATCGGACCTTGTGTGTTTAACTTACATTCACATTATAAGAAAATATTAAACCATAATATATTATTTAAAAGACCAAATTTATAACAAAAATAAGAACAACCTTTCAAAAAATTTATTATGGTATCCTTTCATATGGAAAGATTCATAAATTGCCTATAAAACGCAAATTAAACTCTGTTTCCTTGTTTCAGATTGCTTGATAGCATGAAAATGCCCGGTCAGCGACCCGGCTTCCAAATATCCGATATTCTCGGCTTGAATGAGGCTAAAGGATTGGAACCACCTCCTCAGGGAGGTTTAAGCGGCCTGGAGCTACCTCCGTATGCTCCTCCGCATCACAACTACTCTCATGAACTGCTCCGACATCATCAGCCTTGGTTATCACTAGATCAGCATGATGGCACAGGTATATACCTTTTCTTTATATTCTTACACTAGCTTTTCGCCCGCAGCTTGGGCGCTCTAGTAAGTAAATATGGTTTTTCGCTTATATGAGAAAAAGTCGAACATTTTCTGGGACGTAAAGTAGATTATGTGTTATTCCTGGACGTCAGCTATCTGTATACAAAATTTTATCAAAATCGCTTCAGCCGTTTGAGCGTGAAGAAGGAACAAACATACACACACACAAACTTTCACAATTAAAATATTAGTAGGAAGTAGGATAGTTTTTGGCAGAAACATAATAAAAGCATTCAAACAACTTCTAGTCACATTCATATTTTCAGAGTTAGAAATTTTCTTTACATTAATTCCTTCTATCGTCATTATTTCCTTACATGTTTACCACATATCGGCGCTTCATTCACTAAAGTCTCTTATACTGAATAAAATTTTACGATAGCTTTTGACTTAACAAGTATGTTAGTAGAGGAGTTGTAACAAGTATGAGCTCTTGTCTTAATGATCAATAAATAGCTTGAGTTTATTAGATATGTACAAATTTTCGAAGCTACTGAATATTAATCACAGGGCTAATACTTTTATAAGTGTTATACAATATTTAACCGAAGATTCATAAAATATATAGTTATGAGTTTTGCCCAATATTTAGACGAATCTAAATCGTTTAAATATCTCATTTTTTATCAAATTTCGTAAACGCTAACGTTTGTTTTGTTGATATCTCACTGCGGTGATACATGAAGATTCTAACACGTCTTTATGAATTGACGTTTTTATCTGTCGATAAGATGACAGATTATGTGTCATATTAAAACAATTTGTAACGTATTTCGGTCATACACAATTGTGTAATATTAAAATGCAACTAGATTATATATTTATAGGAATACGTTATATTATTTTACATGCATTACTTGAAAGATTTATATGCTGAAAGTTTCAAACGCCAAATACTATTTCAATCATGTACTAGTTTTACTTATCATAACATATTTCTTTCTTAGAATGTACTACAAAATGTATTGCCAAAATATGTGTAGATATTTAAAAATTTTTGAATGAATCAAGACAAGTACTATTCAAATTATCATACACAAATATATTGACCCACTCGAAAATAATGGCTGTTTGGTAGTCGGCTTGAAGAGGCCGAGATTATTTTTTGAAATGCTGCTCCAATGAAGTGCCGTCAGTGGTAATCTGTTGTTGTCATTAATTACGTTTATCGCTTATCTAATATTTCGGCACTCGTACCAACATTCGATTATCCGTTTAAAAACCGTAATCCGCGCTTTGATTACTTTTTATTAGATAAAGTTTTATTGTTAATTAAGATAACGATTTTGTTGTCGTGATTGTCTTTTTAGATTTATGATAATATAAAAATGATGTGTATAGATATTAAAGTGAGACAATGGTAATCTTTGATAAAATCAGTTGTAGTGACTAGTGAGTGAATCTTTAAATGGGGTGCGTAATGTCACGCCCTCGTAACGGGGGCTAACTGATTGTTTAAGTTGCGAAGGGTGCGACGCTGAACGAATTTGTCACCAATGGAAGGCCGGCAGCTGCAGATCAATTACACTGTTTGCGGCTGTTAGGAATGCCATTCGTTCTTTATTTGATGACAGTTTACCATCCTTTGTTACACCTAATAGACTATGTTTGGGGTTTGATACAATAGCTGGAACATTCGATCATACTTTTTTTTGCAACTCATTTCTAAGTATACTTTAATTGTTTCGTATTGTTCCATTAAAAATAGGTAATACTTTATATAACATACGTAATTTTTATTTAATTTTGTTGAACATATAGGTACGTGAATTTCATTAATGATTTTACGTCGTATATTGTGAGTATATAAATATTATAATGTTCAATGTTAACGAAGTTTTATTAAATTCTGGTACAACATCTGAACAATACAGCAGCTGCCTTGTAGTGGGAGTGCCGCCTCCCTCCCAAAATCCCTACCAACACGCCCAAATCCCTTACTCCTTATATCCGTGTGAAACTGAACCCAATCTCTGGGGGAGATGAGAACAATGAGTTGGGAATATTTGCGGTGATTTTTTCATGTCCTTTCTTGTTTTGATACGAACGGTTTTTTTCTGTTAAATAGATCTACCCTTACATATTTAGGAGGTTTGAGTGTTGTACCTATGTACGTCGTGGTTTTATTTTATTTTATTTAAGGGCCACTAGTAGCTACTACATGTTTCAATGACAAACGTAAAATTATGAAACGGTTTAGTTACTATAAGATAATTTATGCTTTATATTATATACATTCTAGAGTAAACAAAAAATGGAAAGACAAAAAATGTTTATGATATTTTCTTTTGTCGTAGGTATGCTTGGACAACAGGCGAGTCCTGATAGTACTTCAAGAGCATCTGAATTATCGTACGTCGGTCCGTCAGCAGCCTCACCCACAGTGACTGACCCTCGCCATGACCACGACCTGGAACAGGACCACGATCACGACATCCACGATCACAGTCTGGAACTAGACGATGATAATGATAATGACCAACCTAACACAGCCTCCGAGTCAAATCTATCGCACAAGAAACGCAAACGCAGAGTACTCTTCTCGAAAGCCCAAACGTACGAGCTGGAACGACGTTTCAGGCAACAGAGATACCTCTCAGCGCCAGAACGGGAACATTTGGCGAGTTTAATACGTCTCACACCAACGCAAGTAAAAATCTGGTTCCAGAATCACAGATACAAGACAAAACGCGCGGTTCAAGAGAAAGGAGCTCATGATTTGAACGTCGGCGGTCTTAATTCACCGCGCCGTGTTGCAGTGCCCGTTTTAGTGAAGGATGGTAGGCCTTGCATCGGAAAGCCAGATGGCTTACCACCATTGGGGATGACGCTACCACCATACCAACCAATGCATCACCAGCCGCCAGTCACAGGCCATGGACCACAACCAGGTTGTTGGTGGTGAAAAAAAAATTATTACAAAGTGATTACTAGTCGTAGCAGTACAGAAGCTTGCAATATTTACGGTCGGTATTTTGTTAAAGTCAGAAGGTATCAGAGCGAACAGTTGTGCCAAGTGCTTACATCTGATTACAAAACTTAAACAGTATTGGCAAATCACATCACGTGTTAACTGCAGGTTTAATTTATTTCAATAATACAATTTTTATTTTGTGACAGTATTTAATAGTTTTATATTCAGTTCGAATAATAAGAAGTATTATATTATTACTTTAAATTTCTAAGGTACTTGTTCCTATAGTTTAAATTTATATCATAACTTTTAATGTCATTTAAATTCATTATATTTTCGTTTGTTTTTAATAATTGCATCTACATCTCAGGAATTCATTTTCTTATGCCAGCGTGTTTTTCATACGTTGTAACTTTTCTAATCATTATATTAACTCTAGCATATAGACATTCCATTTTAGTTTCTTATTTGTATATTAATGTAAAAATATATAACAAATTTAAATATAACTATTAGAAATGACCAGATTTTATCAGATTGCAATATTTAGTTGTAAGTAACAGTATTAATAGTTGAAAGTGTGTAGCCATAGTTATTTATGTATATCCAAGAACATATATTTATAAAGGAAAGTAGCGAATTTAGTTTAGTATAGTTATTGTATATTTTGTAAATAATTTCGTTTGAAATACATTCGTTATCTTCAAGTGTAGCGCCACTGTCATGTGGCGTTTGTCTATGTATCGATGACTTTTACATTCCAACTAATGATTTTCGGTTTTTATTTTATATGTAATAAAATTTGTAAAAAAATGTTTAATTATATAAATTATTATGTGAATATTAAAATGATTTAATGAATCTAGCTGTTTTATTGCGAATTTATTATATATTTTTTGGTTTAAGATTATTTAAAAAAATAACAGAAAGTTCTGAAAATTTTTTCAAGTACTTTTCTTAGTTAAAATTTCAAGATGTATAGACATATCTATATGTATCTTAACATCTTGATTTATTATATAAATATAACATAATTTTTTCATATAAGTATTTCGCAATTTTAAACAGAGTCTGAAAGAGTACACATAAACTGAAAAATCATACGCTTAAGGTTATTGTCAAGCCTTTCACAAACATACGTCTCTTTATTAATTATTATTTTAAATACTAATTAAAATACTAATAATGTAAGTTTCTATGAACCTAAAATTTTAGATATTGCTTATGAATTTTTTTTACATATCGCTTGGCAAAAAAATATTTTAAAAGTCAGTAATATAAACAAATATTTTACAAGTCAATAATATAAACTAAACAACGACAACACAAACCAAAAAAGGATGAGATAATAAAAATTAAAACAGAAAATGAATTCAATTACTCAGAATCCAATCAAATAAAATAATAATAGCCAATAGCCGTCTGATATACTTGTAATAATAATGTATTTAATATAACTGTTCTATATAATAAATATTATCCCTATAACTATCTGTTTTCATCACGCTGTACGATCATTGTTTGACTTCAATATTTGCTGTATTGTCATTTATCTAATCACTGCTGCTGATAGCCCGCGACCCGATTACTGACATACTTGTTACCAAGTTTTCTTTACATCAGCGCCATACCTCGGAAAAATTATGATAATATAATTATTATATAAGTTTTTTTACATATAATACTTTTCCTAAATTCTCAGGCAATACTTGTCTAATATTAAAGACAGAAATTACAAGACAGAATCTTTAATATGAAAAGATTGGTACAATTTCGCTATGTTTATATAATTTTTTTTACAGTTTTATTTTTTACGTATATATTTTTATAGATAGAACATAAAATAAAAAGAACACAAAAAGTGTTATGTCAATTGTAAAAACAAAATAGTTGACATTCAAACTTGTGTAAAATCTTACGATTAATCCTTAAACCAAACACGGCAGAAGTTTTAATATGACGCTTTGTCGATACGGAGCATTGAAAAAGCGAAAACGCCTACTCGCTTTGATTGAGGAGGCGTTTAACAATGAAATGTTAGCGTTGATTAAATAAATAATAACAATATCACAAAGGAAACGGCATCGGCAGTCGACAATGGGCAAACAAACTGAAAATTAATTCCGATGAATTCTCAAAATGCTTTCGATTCAAGCTTCAAGCCGTCCAATGGAAGTGTAGTAGTTAAGCCGATTAACGTAGAACCTTCCAGATTCCCACTGATTTTGACACATATGTTGCTTTATTATCAGAATTAAATGTACATCGTTGTTACCGTTTTAATTGAAAAAGTATATTCATGTATATATAATGTATAATTTTCTATTTTATGTTCAACTGCAAATTGTAATAAGAATACTCGCTAAAATTACAAACAGATTTATGTGTTCTTTAATATTTTTTATAATAATGTCTTCAAAAAGGTTTAATATTAGTATAAAACCTCTTTGTTTTAAGTAAAAACTAAGTATACTTAGCAAAAAGAAAAAGAATTTACTTTTCATGTACATTACATTAAACAGTGAGTCATCTTTTTTTGAAACAGTTAAAAACCGTCGGTCAGAGTTGAAGTAGAGGGTTGTAGTATAGCCATGAAATTAGATTCTAAACTTTATACATATTATTAATAAGGTATAAAGTTGCGTGTAGTTCATATGAATGTATTGTAGATGTAAGCGCAATATATTTATGATGGACGAGCGTACGGTCAGCGCTCAATCGACTCGAAACGTGATAAGAGCACTACACCTTGTTGTGATGACAATCATATGTTGGATGCATTAACATGATAAACAAATAAACCTAACTATACACATATTTCACCAATAAATAACTATAATTAGTTTGACTTAAATAGTTTTAAATAGCGTTATTTATGTTAATTTTTCCATGTCATATAAACGTCAGTTGAAATGTAAATGTCTAAAGTAATCCTATAAGTAAATCAAAGTCATATCGTGTAGCTCTGAAGAACGTTGTAAGAGCTTAGTTGTCACGCGGCAACCATTTTGCGGCTAACCCGCCTTCACTGGATTTATTGCTTCGCTAATAAACACGTTATGTTGCTGCCTAATGAATATTAATAACTCACGATGATATTCACGTATTAAATTGGCTGCCATTAGCCTTTTGCGTATGCTTTTGTAATAAGATGTTAATAATATTATGTACTCCATATATTATCAGCGTCTTAGTAGATAATAACCGACATTTTGACAGTTAATTTCTTATATAATTACTTATTATATTTAGCCGTGAAATTGGAAACAAACTTAAATATATAAGTTTAAAATACAGGATACTAAATTCGTGATTCGTGTACTGTACTTAGGTATAAGTAGTATTTCTCAATGAAAGCAAATAAAAGTGTCTCTATATGTCAACCGACTGCAACATAAAATGTACGAAAATTGTAAAATAATCGAATTTAAAGATTTTTTTTCTCATAATCACGATTGATAAGAACAGTTTAATATCAATCCAAATGATTTGACGTAATTTTCAATAACCAATCTGTTACAATTAGAAGTTTTGAAGATATTTCTCGTCTATAAATTTATATTGTCATAATTTTAACATCATCATTCTTTGCTCGTTAATAATGTTGTTTTTGAAAAGATCCAATAAAGTTTGATATTATTTTATAGCGCGCTGTTCACATTCGTATCCTATGGTAGTTAGTTGTAATCATATAGTAAATGTTTTACTGCAAAAAATCCGCCATGATGGAAAAATACCGTTACCATCTGACGTTCACACAAAATATGTTTTAGTTTTTCTATTTGTATCGCGAGGCCCATTTTTCACGTGCCAGCAACAACGAACAGACATAAAGGTTTACGACAGGCCGTCATATTTATGGCTTTGGGTATTGTGATATATTTTTTTGTTGTTCGCATTAGGTTTTATCTGACTTTCCGCTAAATCAAGTAGCTACTGGCCGGTGTCAGGAAATACCCTCGCATAGATCATCACAGCGTTTTGGGGTTACGTCTAACTCGTGGGGCCCGGGCCAGTTGACTAGCCATTTGTCTTATCAATACTGTCTACTCATTTTCTTTTTCATCGATGTTTATGTCCCATTCATTAATTATCTTTACATATTGTTGGTCTGTTATTTATACTATGATAACATTTCTACATTGTCAAGATTATTTGCAACGCTATGTGGATATTTAAGCACAAAAAATATCGCTCTAAGGACGACAAAACCTTCTGTGCTCAATTTTATTGAGGATTAGAACACAATACCCTGTTTGTAACAACTGAACTATTCAGTTAGCCTCCCATGGTGATGACATTTATCCTTATCTGTTGCCTTAAAAAATACTACACTTGTTAAATAAAATCCCTTACAAAACAGTGGACATACTGTATTTTCGACACGAGGATGGACGCATTAATTTTACTCTGTGTCATCGGAGGGTTCGAGAAGTTCGTACGAGGATTTTCGATTAAGATGTCTCGCGCCCTTTTTTTAGCTAAAAAAGGGAAAATGAACAGTCCGGGGCGGAAATATTACGTAGTAACGGCATTTCCGCACGATAAATCGCCGCCCAATCAAAAGAAATTCCGCGCTACATCCTCGTATATCTTTATTAATGCTATACTTTATTTTATTAGGCTTTTTATCAGCCCCATTATAGTGTAGGATAATTGTATGTGTGCTTATAACGTAATTTACCTTAGAAATAAAACAAAAGATATTAAATGGGACATAAATGTTGATTTATATACACACATAGTACTGATTATATGTAACCTGTCGCCTGTTATCAGTAAGGGGAGGTTAAATCAGAAAATCAATATGAAGCGAGCGTTTATTACGAGTCGCTTGTCCGTTCCATTTAAAAGTTTCCGCTATCCTCGTGCACGGATAACTTTAATAGTTTTTACTTATACGAAATAAGTCTGAAGGTTTGTTTATCTTATGGAAGATTCAAGCTCTTATGGTTAAAATTTTCATCATATTTTCTATTTTTTTTCTATTA